TGATAACTTGTAGGAGAGAGAAAAGAAAGGCTGAGGATCCAGGGCAGGCAGGCTCGGGGTTCACCGGGTGATGAATGAATGACTCGGCGTTTTGGATCAAGTCTAATTATCACCATCATCACCAGCCTGGTGAGAACGGGAAGAGATCAACCAAAGGACTTGTGTGTGTGCATATAAGTCTAAACAGTGGTCATGGGCAACGGGGCGGGGGGGGGGGGCATGGGGAGGAGTTTGGGATGGGAATGGGGGGATGAGGACAATTATGTGCTACCATAATCGAAATTAAAAGAAGAAATTAAAAAAAAGAAATTAAAAAAATTTAAAAAACAAACAAACAAACCCAGACTGGCGGGAAGCAGGTGGCATGGCACCTCGGTGCCCTGCTGCGTTCTGGACCATTTCCTACCGCATCTCTTATCGTGGGAGCCCTGCGAGCTGCAGGGGGGACCCTGGGACCTTCCTTCGGGGCCCCCTTCCGCCCGCGGGCCCCAGATCGGAGCCACAGCTCGGCCCGCAGGTGCCGGCGGATGGAACCCGGTCAGGAGCGCGCGGATGCTGTTTTAACCAAAAGCACCTCCGCGCTCTGCAGTTGTCGCTCTAAGAATTCTAATTTGCAGGTTTTGTTGTTGTTGTTTTTTTCTCTCTCTCCCCAAACCACCCCGCACCCTCTGCTGCGAGTGGCGGGAACGGGCGGGCGGGGAGCGCCAGGGCCCCCCTGCGCCTCCGAGATAAGCGCCCCGGGCGGCACCTGGGCGGACCCGCCGGGCTTCTTTCCCGCCGTCGCGGGGCGGGGCAAAGGCGCCACGGCTCGCGGCCAATCAGCAGCGCCGGGGACGATTCAAAAGGGCGAGGAGCCAATGGGAGCCTCGAATACCCCCCCCGAGGGGCGGGGAGGGGCGGGGCTAAAGAGCGCGCGCCCGGGGCGTGGGCACGCAGGGGGGAGCGCCCCCGACGTCGCGCGCGCGGACCTGCCGCAGGGGAGCAACTCGGCGGCGGCGGCGGCTCTCGCGGAGTTTGTGCGTGTCCCCGCGGGACCCCGGCGCAGGTGAGCGCCCCCACCTCCCGGCTCCCCGCGGGGCGGCCTCGGGGCGGGGGGCGGTGCGGGCGGGGGAGGCCCGCGGGGGGCGGGGGTCCCGGGCGCCGGGCCGGGCTGCGGCCTCGCCCTCGCCGGGCCTCCCTCCCGCCTGCGGGCCGCTCGCTCGCGGGCGGCGGGGCTGGAACCGTGCGCGCGCGGCCCGGCCGGGCCGGCGGCGGAAATGGAGCTGCGGCTGCAAGTTGGGGGGGACGTTCCCCTCCATTTTGGACGCGCCGCCGCCGCGTCGGTGTCCGGCGATGTAATGGGCGGGGGAGGTTTGGGGGTCGGGGTCCCCCTCCTTCCCCCGGTGCGTTCCCAGCGCCTTTCGGACGGGTAACGGGTGCCTCGGCGGCGGGTCCTGCCTGGCGTGGGGGAGCCGGGGACCGGGGCGCCCAGAGGTGACTCCCCCGCGCGGGCCGGGGCGCCCAGAGGTGACGCCCCCGGGGTCGTGGCCGGGTCGCGGGGCGCCGATCGGGGGGGAGGGGCGCCCCCTCGCCAGGTGCTTCCGCGCGCGCGGCCCGGACACGGATCTCTGCGCAGCTTGGCGCGCTCCCCCAAAGCTCCATTGCGTGGTGGTTTTGTTTTGTTTTGTTTGTTTTTTTTCCTTCAAGTTGTTAAGAGTTTTAAAACCTTGTGGCAGCCCCGAGGGGCGCACAGGAAGCGAGCGCCCGGTTGCACCGGGGCCTGAGTCTTGCACGAGCTGCTTGCTGGGCGGTCAGGCCGGGCGCCCTGGACAGCGCCCGGGCGATGGACGGGGGCAGCCGGGGAGCCCGTGGGAGCCCGTGGGGGCCCGGGTGCGTGCTCACCTGCTGCGGGAGGGAGCCGGCTGCTCCGAGCCCTCGGGGGCCTGGCAGACAGGAAATACGACCCAATCCAGCCGAGGCTGGTGTGGCTCAGTCAGTGGATAGAGCGTCGGTCGGCCTTCGGACTGAAAGGTCCCGGGTTCGATTCCGGTCAGGGGCATGTGCCTTGGTTGCGGGCACATCCCCAGAAGGAGGTGTGCAGGGGGCAACGGATCGATGTTTCTCTCTCATCGATGTTCCTAGCTCTCTATCCCTCTCCCTCCCTCTCTGTAAAAAATAAAAAAAAATCAATAAAATGTATTTTTTTAAAAATAAAGAAAAAAACACACACACGAGCCAATCTGGAACCACACTTGGCAGCAAGTGATGCGAAGGACAGGATGGGGGGTGGGGGAGAGGGGGCTTCGGGAGTGCAGCGGCGGGACCCTACATTAGACCGAGCCCTGTGTCCAGGAATGTCGGGCCAGGGATGTGGAGAGAGGAGGGAAAGGGAATGAGTAGGAGAGGAAGGATTCTCTCTTTCCATTTTTATTTCTTAGGGGGAAAGCCAGGCCATTCGGCTATGCAGCCGGGAGGTGGCCTTTGCATCCTGAGCAGGGGGTACAGAGCAAGGCGGGGTGGGGATGGGGGGATCCCTGGTGGGGCCCGCCTTGGGCTCCCGGGTGGAGGGGAAGCTGTTAAACTCCATGTGAACTTCCCGCTTTCTGCTCCGTTGAGACTGATTTGGAGAAGTGAAGGGGAGAGGACCAGAGATCCCTAGGGTTCCTCTGGCAGCACAGAGAGCAGCCGCGGTGGGGCTGATAGATACTCACCACAGTGACACTGACGTTAGCAAGCCCGTGGCTTCCGGGGAGAGGCCCGAGGGAGGGCCTCCTGGGATGGGGGGGAAGGACGTGGTGATCAGAGCGAGCAGAGTTCTTCTGGACCCGCTTGGCTGTCACACCTCCGGGTCCCTGGCCCCCCTGCGGGGAGGCCCCGGTGTATGGGGGTGTCCTTTCCGGGCCAGTCCCCTCTGGCCTGGGGCTGGGTGTGAGTGTGCGTGGCTCTTGTGCACAGTGGGGGTGCCGGTGGGGGTGGGGGTGGGGTTCGGGGTGGGGGCGGGGGTGCGCTGTCACCTTTGGGAACGGGTGTGGGGTGTCTTCTTCAGGAGAGCCGGTTTGCTTTTTCTCTCTCAACCACCCTGTGGGGCATCGCTCTCACGTCCCAGTTCTTAATTATTTTTTTTTTTTTAAATGAGCTTAGAGACCTCACAGGGGTCCACTAGATCTCTCCGTGTGTTTAACCCGGTATTTAACGGGGCGCAGAAAGATGCTGGTGCCTTTGCTGAGAGGCACGGAAGGTCCAGAAGTTTGCAGAGAGCTGCTTGGAACTCAAATGGCATCTTTTACGCAGAAAGATGGGCCTGCCTTCTCTCCCCCGGCGGGCCAGCCCGGAGAACCAGTGTCACTAACGGGGGTGTGATCGTAGGGAGTCCAGGGGGGTGCAGCGAGGAGAGGAGGGCCCACTTCCTTCCTCTTTCTCAGAACTCGGAGGCTCACGCTCCATGTTGAAATCGGCACAGCTTGCTGCTGTCACCTTCCCTTTTGGGGCCCCTCCCCCATGTCCCAAGGTGTCCACCGCCCCGCCTCCCCAGGGTCCCATTAGGAACTCCTCAGCCAGCCGGGATGGTCCCCAGGGCTGGGCCCCTCTGCCCCGGGCTCCAGGCCCAGCCGGTTCATCACCCCCAAGCCATCCCGCCAGCCATCCCGCCATCTCACCAGCCATCCCGCCATCTCTATCTCTATCTGGGCTGGCTGGGAAAAAGCCGTCCATTACCGCAGTGTGAATGACCTGGCACCTCTAACCACCCTCTAATCACCAGATAAGTGGTGTGTTTCCTTTCATCTCTATCTTTCTCAACAGGAGAAGCTCATTAAGCCTTTCCCCCGGTGATTCACTGACGCAACATGGTGCTTGGGAACGAGTTTTTCCTTGGGCGGGCGGGGGAGGGTAACGTTCTCCTTAGCCAACTTCAGTCTCGAGAAGTTCTTGAGGGTTGTTCTCGGTGGTTCTTGTTACCGAATCAGCTCTCTGCAGGAGCCGGGGAAGGGGGCATGCTGTTAGGCTCCGGTGGTATGTCAGATGGCGTAGCTGGTGAGCTGAAGGTGATTTAGGGAGAGACTTCTCCATGGTAACGGCCGGCTAGTGTGGCTGGTGTTGGAGGTCCGAGGCCTGGGTTCGGCCACACGGACTGTGGCGGAGGGAGAAGCCGACCGCCTGAGAGCCAGAGCGCCCAGCCGGCAGCTGATGTTTGAAAAAAGGCGGCACACAGGCCTCCTGGGAGGAGCCGTGTCTGTGGTTGCCTGTGGCCCGCAGTGGCGCGTGTACAGGCGTGTGCGCCGTGTTCTGGTGCCGTGGCGAAGGATGTGCTAACGGGGGCTGGAGCCAGGTGTGCGGCAGCCCAGGGTGAGCGAGGCCGTTACTCGGGACGCATTTGAACTTGAGCTGTGAGACTTGGAAACTTGAAAGAAAGACCCTCAGCTCTGCTGTTCATTAGAGATTTGGATTTTTTTTTTTCTCCCTGCTGATGGGCTATAATAATGTTAATTATACCTCGTTGGTTTTTCTAGACAGTCTGTTTCATGGATTGTTGTTTTTAATAAAGGTAATTATACTTAAAAACGGAATGTGTTTAAGTCTTTGTAAGACTAGATACACATTTATACAGCAGGAAACGAATCCCTTGTGAGATTGTGCCGTGTGGATTGGCAAGTAACATGTCACTGGAGGTGACAGGGTGTTGCATGGGCAGCCATGCGTGTGTGGCCGGTTACTCCCGAGTGTCACATGGACCTGGGACTGACCTGTCCCATGTGAGCGACTCCCAGGGAGACACGGCGGCAGAAAGGACCCCTTCTGTGCTGCGCTCTCGCCAAAACAGTTTCTCGTCTAAAAAATAAGGGATGGTGCCCCCTCCCCTCCCATGGCCTTTTTGGCCCTACAATCTTGACCAGTTAACATTTTGGAAAGTTGTATTTTAGTGTCCAATCTGCGGGGGGGAAAAAAAAAGAAGACAAATGTAAGTGTGTATGGCACTGACTCCCCCTTCTTATCTTTAAAACCGCTCAGACTGCCTTTCAAAGATGCCAAGTAGGAAGTTTGCCGACGGCGAGGTGGTCCGAGGCCGGTGGCCAGGGAGCTCACTCTATTACGAAGTGGAAATTCTGAGCCATGACGGCAAGTCCCAGCTGTACACGGTCAAGTACAAGGACGGGACGGAGCTGGAGCTGAAGGAGAGTGACATCAAGGTAGGTGCTCGCTGGGGTGTGTGTGTGTGTGTGTGTGTGCGCGTGTGTGTGCGCGCCCGGGTGCCGAGTGGGTGACGTACCCGCCCTGTGGTTTTGAGGTTAGAGTGGTCGGTCTAGCTGTTTGGAGCTCAGGGTCGCGCTGTGCTCTGGGTCAGGCCCAGTTTGTGGCTCCGGGGACGTGTGAATGAGACCCGGTGCCCTGTTCCTGAGCCGGTGCCGGTCTCCGGAGAAGATGATGCTTCCCGGGTCAGGGTCCTGGGTGAATCCCTGGGTGCCAGGCCTGTGTGGCTGGTCAGGGACGGCTCTGGGTTCCAGGGGGGGCTATTGGAGGCATTGGCTCCGGAGCTGCTGAGCTGCGAGCGGAGACAACAGGAGAGACCCAGGGGACGGAGGGGCAGCCTCCGCAGAGGGCAGCAGCCGAAGGCCTGGGGCTGGGGACACAGACAGGGAGTGCTGCCAGGGTGTGGGGGGCACAGGGCTGCAGAGGGGGAGTCAGAACTGGGCTTCATCCCGCACGCTGGGGAGTCCTCCAGGAGAGGGACATTCATTAAAGTGAAGTCTGGTGAAGGCCTGGGCCTTGAACCCCTGCTCCGTGACGTGGGAGTACTGATGTAAAACTAGTGGCCCAGTGCACGCACGGCGGGCTGGGGGGCGGGTGTCTCTCCGCCCAGCCTGCATCCTCTCCAATCTGAGATCCCTGTGGGATTGGGCCTAAACTGGCAGTCAGACAACCCCCTCAAAATCCGGGACTGCTGCCTCCTCACCGCTCACCTGCCTGTCTGCTTGATCACCCTAACCACTCTGCCTGCTGGCCTGATTGCCCCCAACTGCTCCCCGTCAGCCTCATCACCCCCAACTACCCTCCCCTCCTGGCCTGATCACCCTTAACTGCTCTGTTTCGGCCCTGCCACCATGGCTTTGTCTGGAAGGACTTCTGGAAGGTCTCATGGTCTAAATAGCATATTGCCCTTTTATTAATATAGATACCATGACAGTGACAAAGGAAAAAGATGTAAGAAATAAGTTCTTTCTGTTATTGGGTCTAACAGATAGAAAATTCCTCTATCAAATGCCATCCAAATTTCTCCACACCTCTTCGCAGTTCCCTCCCTATTGCAGCTCAGCAGCAGCCAGTGTTTGACCCACAGCCTGGCACCTCAGCGTGAGTGCCAGGGCGGGGCCGCAGAGCGTGTGAACAAAGGGCCAGGCTGGATAGTCGGACTCTGCGGGCTTATCCTTCTGCGTGCGAGCGGCTCTCGCTAAACTTGATTTCCCGGCTCTGCAGTGGGAGTTTCAGATCGTTCTCACGTGTCCCCGAGTCTCTTCTGATTTTGTTTGCAGCCAGTTAGAAGCCGAGCTCCCGGGCCTGGGAACCCGGGCGCGGGCAGGAAAAGCTCACGCAGTTATGCAAGTTGCACTCGTGTGCAGGGTCGGCCCGTGCCTGTGTGTGGGGGGGGCTGCTGTCCTCCTTCCTGTTTGGGTGCAGGTTTCCTTCGTCCCGTCATCTCAGCTTCCACCAGCGTCACTGTAGCTCCTCTTGTCTCTGTTCTCGGGAAAGCGTGCAGCCAGTTGTGTAAACACATTCGCTTCTGGCAGCACTTGAAAGACTCCGCAGGGGGAAGGCTGCCTTCGTCCCACGAGCGAGGGCCGTGAGCGCATCAGCAATGTCCACTGCCGGCGTGTCCAGTCCCGCTGGGTCCGCGCTCACGGCACCAGGGCCGGCCTTTGCCGCCTCTCGATTGGGGCCTGCCTGCGTGTGGCGTGGCCTCGGTAAAGCCCTGCCTTCTCCCTCTCCAGCCTTTAGCTTCCTTCAGGCAAAGGAAAAGTGGCTCCACGTCCAGTTCTCCGTCCAGACGCCGGGGGAGTCGGTCAAGGTCGCGCTCCCGCTCCCCCGGCCGCTCCCGCTCCCCGGGCCGCCCAGGCAAGAGTGCCCGCCGGTCGGCCTCAGCTTCCCACCGCGTGGACGTCAAGGAGCTGCGGAAGGAAGTGCCAGAAGTGAAGCTGACGCCCCTGGTGCTGGTATGTGTGCACGCGTGTCCTTACAGTGTTAGTCTGTGCCAGCTCTCCCTCCCCGTGGGTCTGTAATATGAAAATGTCAGGGAAACATCCAGTGCTAAGGTGACGATTCTGGAAGATCTCATAAAGAAATGGATGTTTGGGATAGAAGGTATAATGCCTTTTAAGTGCCAATGAAAAAGAGTGTTTTTTAAGTTATGAGTGCTGTTTAATATTGTATGTGTGTTTGTTGTTTTTTTTTCTTAATATGTTTTTTAAAAAATACTGATTTTAGGGAGAGAAGAAGGATAGAGAAATATCGATCGGTTGCCTCCTGCACGCCCCCTACTGGGGATCGAGCTTACAACCTGGGAATGTGCCCTGAGCCACATCCACTAGTCAATATTAGGTTTTTAAAAAGCAGTTTTTACATATATGTAATAGATATAGACTGTAGTTTGAACTGAGTAAGTTTTTATAGCTTATAAAAACTCAGGTATAAAATAATATATTCTACCCCTCTTGGCATTTATATACTCGATCGCTTTTCCTATTCAAAGATTGTCTTAATGGATTTACTTTAAAAGTCCAAGCTTGGAACCATCAGGGTAGGTGGGGCCTATAGGACCTTGCACAATGAATATTTTAGATAGTAGCCCAAACAGAAATTATTTTTAATTTAAAAGAATTCAATAAAGGTAATTTTTCATTTATTCATTTATTTTACCTTTTATGGATAAAATGCTCATAGATTTTTTTAATAGCCTTAAAAAATGGAATATGTACATACTGTTTTGTTGTTTGATTTAAAAACTTTTAAAAATTGAAATAGCCTTCTGCATTATATTTTTCCACATCATTTTTGTTATATGGTATTGTTTGGATTCTACCATGTTATATGTATGTAATAAATTGTTAAATTCACCTCCCTTATTGGTAGACATTTAGCTTTTCCTGTTTAATTTTCACTATTATAAACAAAATATTCTTATGCAACATCTGATATTTCCTTTGCTACTCAGATGGATAGAGCAGATTTGAAGCTTTTGCCAAATCACGTCAAGACACTGCATACCATCATGAGTAATGTATGAATGCCCATTTTCTCATTCTGGATATTATTTTAGTAGCTTCTTTTGCCAATGTGATTGTCGGAGATTTTCACTTCACCTTATGGACTTGTGTTTTGATAATTGCTCGTGAGTCTGGCCATCCTCCCTCTGACAGGGGGCACAGGGGAAGGAGCAGGTGCTGGGTGCCACTTCCGCATCCTCATTGTTGGAATTTAGTGGCCACCGTCTTCCCAGTGTAACCTTAGCGCTCGGCACCCAGTGTAACCTTAGTGTCCGCACCGTGGCACCAAGGACAGTGTGACGGGAGAGACCAGCCTGAGGCTGCATGTGGTGGTGAACATCCCCTCTTCCTTATTCTTGTATCCCTTTCAGTACTTGGCCTCGTTGTGCGAGCATCCCGCCAACTGCAGTAGGCAGCATAGGGTCAGCTGAGGCCTGTAGGGGAGTAGTAAGGGGGTGATCAGGCTGGCAGGGGGAGTAGTTAGGGGGTTTTCAGGCTGGCAGGCAGAAGTTGTTAGGGGCAATCAGGCAGGCAGGCAGGTGAGTGGTTGGGAGCCAGCAGTCCTGGATTGTGAGCAGTGTGTTGCGGGTTGCATTTGCAGTCATGTCATAGGTCAGAGGTCAGGCATTTGAAAACAGAGTGTAGCTGTCCCCGGTATTTAGGGGGGCCCGTTTGCCGGGAAGTGGCTCGCTGGCACTTGGGTAACCTTCAGTGTATGGTGCATGCTTGCTGCAGTTAGACTTGGATTTGAACTTGATGCTGCATCAGTGCTGTTCTTTGCCAGCTGGCCTCCCCAATGATAGACTTGGGCTTTTAATTTGTTGTCCTCCTCTTGGTTTATTAGCATTGCCGTTTGCCACTGACTTACAAAGGAACAAAGGGACAGATTTCAGCCATGCTTTGCCTGAAAAAATCTTCAAGCTGAAGCATTTTTCCTGTCCCATCTGATAAGAAAAGCCATCTACCTCTGGAGGAGAACGCACATGCAAGAAGGGGGACTGAGTCAGGGAAAAGGACAGACACTTAAGGTTACATAAACCCAGCCAGCATGCAGCTCAGAAAGTTGGCAGTGTGGAGGTCCTAGGAATACTCTAGAAGCACCCACTGTTTAACTTCCCATTGTGGGCTATTTTGGGGCATTGAATGTCTTTTCATCTTATTTTAAAACCAATTCATGAGAGAATGGCCAGTTTTTACTTCTTTAACTCTCATAGCCAATATTATTAGAATCTCTGTTACTGAACAATGAAATGATAGCATTCAGTCTAATTATGTTTAAAAGACGAAAGAACGACTGTGGACTCTATACTGTAAAATCCAGGCTTTTGAAGACTGGGAAATTCTAGTCAGTTTTACTCCATTTCCTCTTTAAGAACAGTATCCTGAATTCTGCAGAATGAAAGCTGTGAAGATGGTTGACTTCCTTCATCACAACAGGGAAGACTTACCATCAGGTTATTTTTTAAGGAGTTACGACTTGTGTGGTTCAATGCTTTCTGTTCTCGTTAGAAGCCGTTTGGAAACAGCATCAGCCGGCACAACGGGGAGCCGGAGCCGCCAGCGGAGCCGCCAGCGGAGCCCAAGCCGCGAGCGCGGAACGACATGCCGCACAGGAGCGCGCCGGTACGCGGGCTCCCTCTGGTCTCGGCCGGCCTGCTCTTGGGTGCAGGGACTTACCCTAAGGAAGGGCATTGAAAGCCGTAATGCCGCCTATGACTTTCCTAAAAGCCCGTCCTTCAGTCGAGACCGAATGTAATTTAACAAATTCATCCCTTGTATGTGGCTATATTATGATGCTGAGTTAGTTACTGTGGTAGCATCCTATGTAACAGAGGTAACATGCAAATTGACAGTCACTTGAACACTCAAGATGGCCGCCCCCATGTGGTCAAAGATGGCCACAACCCCATGTGGTCACAAGATGACTGATACAAGATGGTCAGCAGGGGAGGGCAATTGGGGGTGATCAGGCCTGCAGGAGAGGGCAGTTAGGGGTGATCAGGCTAGCAGAGGAGGGCAATTAGTAGTGACCAGGTCTGCAGGGGAGGGCAGTTGGGACCCAGGCCTGCAGAGGAGAGCACTTGTAGGGGGACCAGGCCTGCAGGAGAGGTCGGTTAGGGGTGACCAGGCCTGTAGGGGAGAGCAGTTAAGGGTGACAAGGCCTGCAGGGGAGTAGTTAGGGGGTGATCAGGCTGGCAGGCAGAAGTGGTTAGGGGCAATCAGGAGACAGGCAGGTGAATGGTTGGGAGCCAGCAGTCCTGGATTGTGAGATGGGTTCCAGATTAGAGAGGGTGCAGACTGGGCTGAGGAACCCCTCCCCCCCCCCGCCCTCTGCCCCATGCATGAATTTCATGCACTGAGCCTCTAGGTAATGATAATTATTGATTACTGCTAATTAGTACTTCTTATTTTTTTAACCAGGAACAGTTCCCTTTGTCACAAGAAAGTAGTTATACATATACACAGTACAGCCTTCGTCCAAGAAGAGAAGAGAGCAAATTAAAAAAAATAGACTTAGAGGAAGAAGAAATTGTTACAAAAGGACCTACGTCGTTGAGAACCTTTGAAATGACAGCCCCGCAGACGAAGGACTTGGAGTTTGGCGGAGTCCCGGGTAGGTGCCGGAGCTGGGCTGAGGGGGGCCGGGGCGGTGGCCGTGGCCGGGCCAGCAGGAGTTGCAATAAAGCGAACAGGAAAGGCCTTTCTCTGAAGAAGCTGAAGCAGGCTGGGCAGAGAGCCAGGTGGGAGGGAGCCCGGGGAGGAGGGAAGGCAGGGGAGGGGGGATGAAGGAGGGGGTGGATGGGCGGGAAGAGATCAGCCAAAGAATTTGTGTGCAGATATGCACAATTCGTGGGCCAGACAATAGGAGAGTGAAGGGGGGGGTGGTGGAGGGAAGCGGGGGCGGGGGGGGGGGGGCAGGCTAGAAGAGGTCAACAATAAAGGTTAAAAAAAAGGGGAGGCGGGAACAGCAGGTTCAAAGGCCTGAGTTGGGAGCATTTTATTGGTTTCAGGGAGAGGAAGGGCGAGGGAGGGAGAGAGAATCATTGACCGGCTGCCTCCTGCAGGCTACCTACTGATTCTTGGGTTGACGCTCAACCAGTGAGCCACACCAGCTGGGCAGGTGGGAGCATTTGTGAGGATTGCGATAGAGTAGAAAGGGTGCCAGCATGGCTATAAATACAACGTTTAACAACCTGTTAGGTTTCGATCAAAGAAGCGATAAAAGGAAGGTTGGCAGGAGCGATGAGGGACAGGAAATCTGCTCGTCCTCAGACCTGAGGGGGCGGGGCCCGGGCGGGCAGGAGCAGGAGCAGGGGAGGCTGTGGAGCTGAGACGGGCATGGTGCCCGCCCCACCTGCCAGGCGGGTTGAGTGTGAGTCACACATCTGGGGTGTCGGAGGCTGGCGGTAGGTACTAAGTGGGCGGTGCTGCTGAGGCGATAGGAGCTCGGAGAGTTAGGACTTGGCCAGACGGTCCCAGGCCCTGCGGCTCCCCAAGATGGCGTCCCCTCACTGAGGCTGGCCGCATTAGGTGCACGTGATGCTGCTTTAGTTAGAAATGGACCGTTTTAAAACTTAGGCTGACAGCTTTCAGCTGTTGGTGTCAGCGTGTTTGCTCCTCAGTGGTTGGATTTTCAGTGTCCGAGAGCCGTGGTCAGCAAACTTGTCAGTCCACGGAGCCAAATATCAACAGTGCCACGATTGACATTTCTTTGGAGAGCCACATTTTTTAAACTTAAACTGTACAGGTAGGCACATTGTTATTAACTTAATTAGGGTACTCCTAAGCTGGCCTTTGCTAAAAGCGACCTCAATCTGATTGAGGTACAGTCAAGGGGCCAAAGAGCTGCATGTGGCTCCAGAGCCACTGTCTGCCGACCACTGTCCCAGAGCTGGGCATCTGCTGCTTTACTCCAGGGCTGCTTGCCCACAGGACATGATAGAGATTAGGGCTTTTTCATTTTTTAAAATCTTTATTGTTGAAAATATTACATGAGTCCGCCTTTCTCCGCTATTAACCTCTTGAGAATAGGGCTTTTTGATGATCCATTAGAAATTGGTTTCAGACAGCTAGCCAGACTAGAGTTCTGACCTTAAAAAACCCCAATGATTCTTAAAAACAAAAAAAACAAAACTGGATTGAAAACGGAGCCGTGAATGTTCGCTGATTGTCTGCAGGTGTGCTTCTTATCATGCTGGGCCTGCCCGCCTTCCTCTTCCTGTTGCTGTTGATGTGCAGGCAGCGAGAGCCCGGCCTCCTGAACTTCCCGCCTCCGCTGCCAGCTTTGTCTGAGCTGTGGGAAGCCAGAGCGTTCGGGGCCTACCTCCTCTGGTTCGCCGTCCAGGCGCTGTTCTACTTGCTGCCCATCGGGAAGGTAAGTTTCTGAGTTAGTCTCATAGGCCTTTGCCCTTGGATCCTGTAACACCTGCCTATTGAGTGGAGCTTTATTTTTTATTTTTTATTTTTTATTTTTATTTTAAAAAAAATATATTTTATTGATTTTTGTACAGAGAGGAAGGGAGAGAGAGAGTTCGAAACATCAATGAGAGAGTCATCCATCAGCTGCCTCTTGCGCACCCTCTACTGGGGATGTGCCCACAACCAAGGTACATGCCCTTGACCGGAATCCTTCAGTCCCCAAGCTGACGCTCTATCCATTGAGCCAAACCGGTCCCGGCTGGAGCTTTAAAAATTGGATTGAGGTTTCTTGTGTAACTTTGTATGACAAACAGAAAAGAAGAAACTATTGTGCAAAATAGCCTAATGGTGGAGGTTAAAAAAATCCCCCCTCAGTATAGTGTGTCATTTCAGATACAGGATTTAAAGTGGTCAATTGAAAAGCTACTAAGCTCAGTGGGTTCAGCCTGCACTTTTTACTATCTTTTAAATGTCTTTTAAAAATATCTTTCTATTGATTTGAGAGAGAAGGGAGGGGAGAAGGATAAAAACATCGATCAGAGAGAAACATCCATTGGTTCCTCCTTCACACCCCACACTGGGGATCAAGCCTGCCACCCAGGCCTGTGCCCTGACTGGGAATTGAACTGGTGACCTCTGGCTCACGGGTCGATGCTCAACCACTGGGCCACACCAGCCAGGCTATGATTTTTTAATATGAGTTTCTGATTTTCCAAAGTTTGTTGTCAGGAACATTTTATGCTCTTTCGGCCTCACGCAGGGTCTGAAATTCGTCCTCGTAGCTAAGTGTAGTTTTTCTTCTTTCAGTTGAGTATTGGGTAGACTGAAAGGAACACGAGCTCCTGAGCAGTAAATAATTCACCGCGGGACTGTGTTCTCAGGGCCCTGCGAATGTCTGTCCACCGGAGGACCAGGCCTGCTGGGAGTGGTGGACACAATGACCGGGTAGATCTAGGTGTTGGGATCTCACCTTCACCTTGGCCGTGGCGAGAAGGGTTGTGATAGAGGCAGGATCTCCAGTGAAATCACAATCCAGGTTACTTTAGGCAAGGTGAGCTCAAACTAGAGAAGACTTAGTAAGAAAAGCAGTTTTGATGCTGTACACACACACACACACACACACACACACAGAGAGAAACTAAAAGCCCAGCACAGTGTTTGAGAGACACCTTTAATAGATAAGGATCATTTGGAATTAGCACCGTGGGGTTTTGCTAATCCTGTGATCTCAAACGGCATTACATTTCTCCCGAGGGCCTTTCCATAGCTAATGGAAGGGTAAAGGCGTTTAGCCCACGGAAAATGACACCATGGTTAGTATTTGAAATTTAAAATTACTTGCGGTTTTCAGTAGTTATTTCGGGTGTCAAACGTGGCCGCCATTGAACAAGAGGGCTTTTTCCTCGAACCCATCCCGTTCAAGCGGTATGTTTCTCAATACCTGTGTCTGGGCACCCGGGGGCTCCGAGAAGAGCTGAGCGTTCCCAGTCCTGGTGCTCAGTCTCCCGCTGCAGGGACAGAGCCCTGGGAATGACGGAGTCGGGGGGCGTATGTGTGTCAATGGCAGAGCAAATCAGTATCAGTGCGTGCCGTCTGCTTGCACATGGGCCAGAGCGGTGGGTGAGTGGGCGAGCCGGGCAGCAGAGGCCCCACATGCCAGAGGGACGCCCAGAGACTGAGCTGGAGCTGAGCCCGACGTAGGCTCTCCTACGGCCCGTCAAGTCTCGTGGTGGCGCGGGGGTGGCTGGGGCAGCCGGCTCCTGTGATGGCCTCCTACACTGAGCGGTGATGACTGGGCTCGTGTGAAGACACATTTCTGAGGGCGGGCTTGCTTCATCAGAGGGTTTGCCGTTAAGATGTTTGAACCTGTGGCCAAGTTTCCCTGCCAAAAGGCAGTCCTGGGCCAAGAGGTTTCAGGGACAGTGGAAGACATCCAGTATGTGACATGAGCGCTGTGTTTAAGATCTCACATTCGGTTTTTTTCTCTTTTAAGGTGGTAGAAGGCACGCCGCTGGCTGATGGGAGGAGACTCCAGTATAGACTAAACGGTGAGTTTTTTAAAGGCTCAAATGGGCGGCTTACAGCGCTCCGCAGTTGCGAGCGTAAACTCCCCAACGTGTGCTACACCCGAACAGAAACAGAAACTTGTCTGGCCTGAGGGGCACGCAGTGGACGGTTGATGCCACGGCCGGCGGGTAAAGATCGGAGAGAGTACCTGGCAGAGCCGTGCCCGTGCCTGTGTGTGCGCCTGTGCCTATGCCTGTGTGTGTGCCCGTGTGTGTGCCTATGCCTGTGTGTGTGCCTGTGCCCGTGCCTGTGTGTGTGCCTGTGTGTGTGCCCGTGTGTGTGCCTGTGTGTGTGCCTGTGCCTGTGTCTATGTGTGTGCCTGTGCCCGTGTGTGTGCCTGTGCCTGTGTCTGTGTGTGTGCCCGTGTGTGTGCCTGTGTGTGTGCGCCTGTGCCTGTGCCTGTGTGTGTACCCGTGTGTGTGCCTGTGCCCGTGCCCGTGCCTGTGTGCGTGTGCCTGTGCCTGTGCCTGTGTGTGTGCCCGTGTGTGTGCCTATGCCCGTGTGTGTGCCCGTGTGTGTGCCTGTGTGTGTGCCTATGCCTGTGTGTGTGCCTGTGCCCGCGCCCGCTGGGCCTGACGGTGAAGCCTGGCCTCACTGCCATCCTGTGACGGCGGCTCACGCCCCTCGGGGCTGACGTGTGCTCCTGCCTCTCTAGGGTTCTACGCCTTCATCCTGACCTCGGCAGCCGTGGGAGCCGCTCTCTTGTGGGGCGTGGACCTCTGCTACGTGTACCACCACTTCCTGCAGTTGGCCCTGGCGGCCCTGCTGTTCGCCACCGGCCTGAGCGGCTACCTCTACGCGCGGGCCCTGCGGGCGCCCCGGGGGGCCCTGTCTCCGGCCAGCTCTGGTGAGCAGCGCGGCCTGCGTGCGAGAGTGCAGCCCCCCTAATCCCCGCACCCCATTCCCTCCTCCCCCCGACACCTCATCGCCCCCTCCGCCCCTCCACCCCCATCCCTCCCATCCCTCCCTCCGCCCCTCCATCCCCCATCCCTCCCATCCCCCCCTCCACCCTTTCACCCCCATCCCTCCCATCCCCAGGTGAGGGCTTGTGCACAATGCCTTCCCAGCTGCAGTTCATGGGCGGGGAAGAGAAACAAGGACAAAAAGATGGAGAAATATTTAAAGAAAAGGAAATTAAGAAACTATATTTCCTCATACTTTCTTGTGTCTCTTCCCTTTTGTAGTCACTTGAGGACAGTAAGACATTTAGTAACGTGTATAATAGCAGTAGCGTTTTAGTAAAGGTTCGTAGCGCCATCATGTATGACAAATGTTATTTTTTGTCCCAAGTAGAAAATAGCCTTTAAAAAACAGCACAACGAAGAGATTTCAGATTGGTTGATTCTGGCCTAAAGTATTGAAGCATTAAGAAAATTAAGTTGCTTATTTAAAAAAAAAATGATAAGCTACATTAAAAAGTATTCTAGTTCCCTTAAAGTCCCAGGCCGTGTGGCAGGGGGGTGCTTTCGGGGGGGCGCACTGGGGCTCAGCCCCCGGGTCCCCCTGCTGGGGCGGGCAGGGGAGAGTGGGCCGGGGCAGAGGACAGCTGAGCCTCCTGAGAGCCTCGCAGTTGGGCCTGGAATAGCGTGTTTCCCAAAAGCTGTGTGAACAAGAACTCTTCCTTCTCAGGAAACGCCATCTACGATTTCTTCATCGGCCGCGAGCTGAACCCTCGGATCGGGACTTTCGATCTCAAATACTTCTGTGAGCTGCGCCCCGGGCTGATGGGCTGGGTATGTCTGTGCTGTTTTTAACTCGAAGTTCAGCGCAAATCGGTCCCAGACTTAGAATTGCAGGCAGTTTTAAGGAAGCGGTGGGTGGTGTATTTTAGGAATAATTACAGCTTTCCCTAAATCTGTCTCCTTCAAGTATTTTCTCACGGGAAATGTAGTCCTGAGGAGAAGATGCCCTGTCACAGGTTATTAAACCGGAAAAGGGTGTGGTTTATGCTCACGTAGGAAAGTGAGAGTGTTGGTGGATTCACGTAGGAAAAAGAACAAACGTATTTCAGGCGCGTAGAGTCGCAGCAAAGAGAGTCCCCTTCCATTCCCCCCTCTGCTTCCCGGTGTCAGCGCCTGGCACAGCCACAGCCGGGGCCAGGACGGCACGGGGCACTGGGACAGGTTACCACTTCCTGGTTACTGTGCTCTGGTTTCCGCTAGTCTTTCCTGGTCTCCCGGGACCCTGCCCCTTGAGGAGGATCCTTTAATTTGGGTCAGTCCAGTGCCCTCTCCTTTTACCCTCATCCGAGGATGTGTTTTTATTGATTTTTTAGAGAGACACACACACACACACACACACACACACACACACACACAAATCTGTGCCTCCCATGTGTGTCCTGATCTGGAGTCGAACCCACAACCTCTCGGTGTATGGAACGGTTTTGCTCCACCTGAGCCACCTGCCAGGCGTCCAGTGGTCCTCACGCTCGGAGCGATGCGTTTGGGCCTGGCCACCACAGACACGTCCTCCTGTCCTCAGGGCCCCCGTCGGGTTCACGGGGGACGCGTCTTATTTCCGAGGCGGGGGCTGGGGAAGGTGTGGGCGCGGGGGGCCGCCTCGGGGCCGTGGGGACTGACGATTCCGGCGGCGCTTTGGTTTCAGGTGGTGATCAACCTGGCGATGCTTCTGGCCGAGATGAAGCTACAGCACCGCGCTGCCCCCTCCCTGGCGATGGTTTTGGTGAACAGCTTCCAGCTCTTGTACGTGGTGGACGCGCTCTGGAACGAGGTAACTGGTTCCCAAAGCAGAGCCTCTGCGTGGGAGTGAGTGCCCTCACGCTCACCCAATGCACCGGATGGCATCCCCTTGGCTAAGCACCGTGAGGAGTGCCCGCCTTGCCAGGCAGCGTCTGATTGGAAATGACATGGTGCCTGGGGGCCTGAAACAGGCAGCTGGCGATGCCATCACTCCACCAGCAAACAGCCGTGGACTCGGACTCCGAGGCAGACGCAGGGTGCTGTGGGCGAGGCGGGAGCCACGGGTGCTGGCTGTTTACCGCTTAGTCTTGGGGGTCACAGTGCAGGCACACTCGCTCGGCCCTGGGCCGGGGAGCGTTAGCTGAGGGCAGAGGTGGGGGCACACGAGGCCTGTCAGCGGGACGGATGAAGCCACAGGCGGGAAACCAGGTTCCCCTCCCGCAGCCCCTCACAAATCGGACTATAAACCGGACTTTGTTTAATGTGTCTTTCCGCCTGGCCGGCAGGAGGCGGTGCTGACCACCATGGACATCATCCACGACGGCTTTGGCTTCATGCTGGCCTTCGGGGACCTGGTGTGGGTGCCCTTCGTGTACAGCCTGCAGGCCTTCTACCTGGTCCGCCACCCCAGCGAGCTGTCCTGGCCGCTGGCCGCGCTCATCGTCGCCCTGAAACGTGAGTGTTGTCCACTCCGAGGCTGCTGCCTCCATGCTCACGTCACCCCGAGGCTGCTGCCTCCATGCTCACGTCACCCCGAGGCTGCTGCCTCCGTGCTCACGTCACCCCGAGGCTGCTGCCTCCATGCTCACGTCACACACCTTCTAAGTGGCCGTGATGAGCTCAGTCTGGAGGGAGCTGGGGTGGGTGAGTGACAGGCGTTTGCCAAGAGAAAGGATGCTTCGTGCTTAGGCTCTTTAGGAGATTTTTAAGGTTTTTAGTTATAGTGGGCATTCGGGGTAGTGACTAGATAGTCACAGTCCTTCAGAAGGGGCTCCCCCCACAGCCCCCTGGGAGAACGCCTTTACTTTATATCCCAGGCCTGTGGGTAACTGCCCGTTTGTGCTTCTTAACCTCCCACCCTGCCTCCTATGTGGCACTGGCCATTTGCTCTAGAGAGAGGATTTTTACATGAGACACTTTGCTTTTAAATTTAACCCTTTGCGTGACCTAAGCATCCATAGACTCAATTAAATTCAGAAGATGGTCACATGTGGGGACGGTTTCCGCTGTGGACGGAAAGGAGGGGAGTCCTGTCTCCTTAGGGCCCCCCTTCCCTGGAACAGACTCCCAGGAGGCCTGTGGAGGGGACAGAGAGGGACTGGCTGAGAGCCCTCTCAGAGGCTACGGGGTTTGGTCTGAATTTGAGTGGGTGGGAGGCAGAGCACACGGGGAGCAGGGGGCAGAGGGAGCAGGAGGGCTTTCTGTCTGCACTGTCGCTGACCCCCTCCTCCGGCGGGCGCGCGAGGGGTGGCGCTGAGCTTCAGGGGGGGCCCTGGTGCAGAGGAAGTGCTGGTTTGGTTTCTCCATGTCGCCTGTGGGAAGGTGTGAGACAGGTGAGTTCCCTCCTTTCATAGTCAGTGAGCGGCAGGGACTGGTCACTGAACTAAAGCTGCTGCCTCAGGACCGCGGTGAGCGCTGGCACATCTGTCAGTGCAGACGCGGTGCTGAGCCTCAGCCAGAGTTCAAGGGACAGAGTGTCCTGCCCGGCCACAGGCACAGCGCTCAGAGGCTGCGGCCTGCTCCTCGATCCTCCGTCCAGACTGGCTTTATCGTCACGTGGGCTCTGAGAAGTCTGTGAAATTAACCTCTACTTTGGAAATTTCCTCAGAGCCCAGAAACAATGTCTTAAGTGAAATTACAGGTACCTTTAACTATTTCTAAATTGTAACATGAAATCCTTCACTTACAGTTTGTGGGTATGTAATCTTCCGATGTGCAAATGCTCAGAAAAATGCATTCCGGAAAAACCCTGCTGATCCGAAGCTTGCACGTAAGCATTGGTTTCACATTTGTAACATTCGTATTGCACAGAATGCCTTACGTCTATTTGCCAACATGTCGTTACACACGTTTCTGTTTTCATACAGATTTAAAAACCATTCACACGTCCACGGGCAAGAACCTTCTCGTTTCCGGATGGTGGGGCTTCGTTCGCCACCCCAACTACTTGGGCGACCTCATCATGGCCCTGGCCTGGTCCCTGCCGTGTGGTAAGCACCAGCGGGCGCGCTCGCCTGACCGCCCGCCCGGCCGGCCGGCCACAGAGGAGTCCTTGGCTGGGACAGCGTGGGTGGTGCCTCTGAGGGGAGTTAGGGACTCACAGAGCCTCAAGTTTTCTAAAAGCAAATGTGACGTTTTAAACGGTGCCACATGCTTTAGGCTGAGCAGCAGATGTGGGGATTAAGTTAACTTTTTATCCCCGACTCAGTGCGCACCGAGACGCTGCTCTGCAGCATCAGCGAAGGCGCTGTTTTCTGCCAGCCCGGTCGCCCCCACCCCACTGAGCACCGGGCAGACAGGAGGTTTGCCTCCAGCAGGAGGACAGAGGTCCTGATCACAGTGGGGGGGGGGGGGAGCAGAGCGGATTAGTCACACTCCCCTGAGCTCTTGGTTCAGATGCTGCCTCTGCCACCCACAGGGGGGACCCTCTGAGCTGGTTCAGGGACTCGGTCTCCCCATCAGAGAAGGAAACAGTTACTGTGGCTCGGGTGTGGGACCACCGCACTGACTGCCGCTCCGTCGCCAGGTTTCCAGCACGCCCTGCCCTATTTCTACGTGGTCTACTTCGCCGTGCTGCTGGTGCACCGGGAGGCGCGGGACGAGCGCCAGTGCCGGCGGAAGTACGGCGTGGCCTGGGACAAGTACTGCCAGCGCGTGCCCTACCGCCTCCTCCCCTACGTGTACTAGCCCGCCCGCCCGCCCGAGGAGAGCCGCGGCCAGACTCTGCCAGGTCCCTCTGAGCCAGGACTGTGGAGCCCAGTAGTAAGTCTTCCTATAGCCCCGAGCGTGACCTTTCACCCTGACACTTAGCACAGGACAAACAAAGACGTTAGGCCTTCGCATTCCAATAGGAAACTCCAGTCCGTAAAAGCCTGCGAAAAAAAGAGTCTTCCGCTGTGCATAGGTCTGGTTTTTAACGTGCTGATCGTGTTCCGTGGCCGGTTCTTACCCTCAGTGTGTGTGTTCCCTGCAGCCGCAGGCGGGAGCGCCACTAGGCCCGAGCTGGCACAGGAGGGTGATCGGAGGCGCTGGTCAAGGGACGCCCTTAGCAGCAGCAGCTTGCCCTGCCCTCTGACCCGGCATCGGAGATGTAAATACACAGCCTTATGTAATATATGGTGACCTCGGGTTTCTCTGTACAGTGTTTTGAAATGTGAAATAATTGTCAGGAGCTACGTATTGTAACAAAAACATATGCAGTATTTTAAGTTACCTTCTGTAAAGACATGAATTACATTTTGGAAACAGCACTCATTTGCTGTTCTGTGGAAGATGCTGTTAAGACATAGGGAGGTATTTTTCTTAATCCAAAGTTTGCAAATTAGGCTTTTCTACCTCAGTTGCAGGTGTGTGTTTGCCTTATATAAACTGTTGCAAATAGAAAAAAAAAAAAAATAGGATAAATATATATTTTTGGAGTAACGTCCCTATTTAAAAATTTTTACACAGATTGGAGGTTGAAGACTTGCCATTTCAGGCTAATATTTTTATATGTTTTGGAACTTTTTTTAATGAAACTGTGTTTTTGCCACTGCTGAGCTCATGCAGTTTATACTGTATTTTTGTATATTCTTGATGTTTAAAAGCCTTTCTCATAGATGTGCCTCGGGTAGCCTTAGCTGTTCATAGAGCCTTATTAATTGTTCTGTAATAGAAAGCAAATCTAAATTCTCAGTACCTTAACCATTCAAGATCTAACGAGTACGGTGTTGCTGTTGAATTTTAATGATAGATTTCACATGAGCATGTTCCCTAGTTTAGACACTGTGGGGGACATCTCCCTGAATGACCAAGAGCCTGCTACCAGCTACATTCTGCTTTTCGTGTTTTAAGTTGGAAATAAAGAGAGATTACCGGGAGCCTTGGTTTTGCGTCCTATGATTCTGGGGTCTCGAAACGGGGGTCCTTAGATGACACCCCCAACATTTTTCCTCTGTTTGCAGCCTGCACACGTGTCCACGCGGTAAGCACACACTACTACACGCGCACAGACATGTACATGTGGTCAGAGTGCACACTGCCTGGTGTGGGACGGAGTTTATTACTCACTCTTCTCACACAGCAAGGCGACCTGCATGGTGATCCAGTGGCTGGGTGGCTTCCGCGTGGGCAAGGACACGGCCGTCAGGAAGTTGGAGGCGGAGCCGGGGGAGGTGCACCTCTGCGGCGTTTGGTACAGCGGGCACTCGAACGTCCCGTCCTCGGGCTGCTTGGGCAGCTCAGGGGCCTCCGGCGTCTCCGGGGAAACCTTGGCGGAGAAGCCGGAGTCAGGTTGCCCAGCTCCCGTCCCCTGCGCTGGACCCGGGGCGTGTGGGGGTTACACCCCCTGAGGTTGGTGGCTGTGAGACCGCGTGGGGATGAAGCCCGGAGGCCTCCCTCTTAGAGGGCGGCGAGGGCTCTCCACGGAACCTGCCCTGGGAAATGGCAGTGGGCGTTGGTTCAGCATCCGTGTGAGATGCTGGGCTGTTTGAGCTGTGCTCCGTCTCGGCCTGCCCCTGGCTGGGCCCTCCTCATCCAGTGACCGACGTCCCTAGTGAACCGGGGGATGGGGACGGGGGGGCCCAGAGGCAGTGTGACACGTGTTGGGGTACTGACCTTGGTTGGCAAGAAGTAGATTTCCGGAAATTCGCAGCAGATCTCGCGAGGCAGCGAGTCTGCTAGTATTTTCGCTTCGTGATCCCACCTTGCCCCCTGGATGAACAGTCCGAAGACGTGAGCCCCAGTGTGTGTGGAGTCCGTGCCCTAGGACCAGAGAGGGGCTGTCAGCGGCGCCGGGGGGGGTGTCTGGGGGAGGGTTGGAGGGGGTCCCTGTGCTGGGGAGCGGTTGCCCGGTGCCACTCTGAGACCTGAAGCAAGTTTGCATATGCTAATCCTGAACTGACAGGTATTTCAAACACAGAAAAACTCTGTTTCCAGATGACCATCTTTTCAGGAGACCCATCCTAAAAGGGGTCATACGTCGTCCCCAGCTTCTCCCAGGGCAGCCACTGTGGCTCACAGAGGCGCTGGGATTTAAAAGCTGGGTGGGGCCGAAACCAGTGTGGCTCAATGGATAGAGCGTCGGCTTGGGGACTGAAGGGTCCCGGGTTCGATTCCGGTCAAGGGCATGTACCTTGGTTGCGGGCACATCCCCAGTAGGGGGTGTGCAAGAGGCAGCTGATTGATGGCTCTCTCTCATCGATGTTTCTAACTCTCTATCTCTCTCCCTTCCTCTCTGTACAAAATCAATAAAATATATTTAAAAAAATAACAAAAAAAGCTGGGTGGGGTTCTGTAGCGGATCTTAGAGCGACACAAAAAGGGTTAATTCAATGAGGTGCCAACAGATCCTCAGAAGCAGAAACTGCTGGCAGCAGCTCCAGGTCTGGGCTGTCTCGGGGGGACCTGGGGGGCAGCTTGCTCTCCCCCCGCTGGGTGCAGGCGGGGTGGCGGGCACAGTGTCCCCGGAGAAGGGACGGGCACCTCGTCCCCAGCTTGCCCTCCAGGCGGCCTGGCTGTGGCTGGTGCCTGGGCCAGCGGGTTCCCGAGGGCGAGAGGACCTAAGAGGTCCATTTACACTGCCTGCTTGTGCCTGGCATGCGCGGTCTGCGCGGGAATGACTGCTCGAACGAACGAAAGAATGAAGGAGCGAATGAGTGATTCCGCCTCCCACCCCTGTGAGCATCCCGGCACCTTGAAGGCTCTCCTGACGAGGTTGAGCTTCCTCTGGATCGTGATGGAGACCTCCTCCTCCTTGGAGCCCACGGAGTCGGGGATCACCTGGTGGATGAAGGTGAGGCCGTCGGTGGAGATCCCGTGGGCCCGTCCGTAGTCCTGCAGCACGGCCATGAGGAAGGCTGTGGGAGACACGCCCCCGTGAGTGTCAGGAGCACATGCCCCCGTGAGTGTCAGGAGCACACGCTCCCGTGTCAGGAGCACACGCTCCCGTGAGTGTCGGGAGCACACGCCCCCGTGAGTGTCGGGAGCACACGCTCCCGTGTCAGGAGCACACGCCCCCGTGAGTGTCAGGAGCACACGCTCCCGTGTCAGAAGCACACGCTCCCATGAGTGTCAGGAGCACACGCCCCCATGAGTGTCAGGAGCACACGCCCCCGTGAGTGTCGGGAGCACACGCTCCCGTGTCAGGAGCACACGCTCCCATGAGTGTCGGGAGCACACGCTCCCGTGAGTGTCAGGGGCACACGCTCCCGTGAGTGTCAGAGGCACACGCTCCCGTGAGTGTCAGAGGCACACGCTCCCGTGTCAGGAGCACACGCTCCCGTGAGTGTCAGGAGCACACGCTCCTGTGAGTGTCAGAGGCACACGCTCCCGTGTCAGGAGCACACGCTCCCGTGTCAGGAGCACACGCTCCCGTGAGTGTCAGGAGCACACGCTCCCGTGAGTGTTGGGAGCACACGCTCCTGTGTGCGTCCCACAGGCCCGGGCGGGCGCTCTCAGCCACACAGAGGCCTCCTGGAGGGAAGAGGGGGGGAGAGGGGGTCAGGAGATGGCGAGGGGGGTGTGAGGCTGGCCGGGACCCTCCTGGGGGCTGTGGGGGCGCTCAGAGTTTGTCCTGGGACCTTCCCCACTTCTCATCGGTCTTGGCCGACCCCAGTGCCTCAGCCCCTGGTAGCCAGAGCGGGCTCCGGGGGCGAGTACAAGGCCCAGGTGTCCGTCTTCCTGAGACGTGACAGACGGGGACCCGGGCAGGAGGCTCTGTCTCCCCAGGACTCGCTAACGCGGTGGCGACGGCGTGTCCCGCGGCTTCGGGGGGAGAGAGGCTCAGAAAAGACCCCCCGTGTCCTGGGAAGGGCTGAGCCGGGAGCAGAGGAGGCCGGCGGGGATGGGGGTGGGGGATCGGGTGCCCCAGGAGACACGGAGCCCCTGGCTGCAGCCTGGTCCAGTGCACGGAGCCTTTCCCAGGTCCGTTGTGCAAGTCAGATGCGTTCTGCATGGCGACACTGGTGCCTCCCACAGTCTCCTCGTCCATCTGCACAGCCAGCGGCCCCGGAAACCCACCTCACTGCCTGGTCACGCAGCGCCCCTGCCCAGACCCCCCCCCCCCCCCGTGCCAGTGCTGGCCGAGGGTGCGGCCAGAGACCAGGCTGAGCTGTGGCCGCCGGGGGCTGGCAGCGAGGTGCCCAGTGCAGGTGCCTCACCTGCCGCTGTGCGTCTTCGCTCCCCCCTCAAGCTGGACTCCTCCCCGCGCCCCCATTCAGTGAGTGACGAGAGCGTCCACCCAGCTTTCCAACCAGAAACCTGGCCTCACGCCTCCCACTCCACACCCCCACCTCAAACAGGGAGTCCAGCTGCTCCGATCCCCAAACGCCCTCCTATCCAGCTCCTTCTCCCCGCCCCCCCCCGCCCCCTCCTCCCCGGTCACCCAGCGGCTGGGCCGGGAACGCAGACTCGCCTTGTGGGAAGAAGAAAGCGGGGAGCCAGTATCTTGCGGGAAACCCTTCCACGAGGTTGCTCTCCTCCTCCGTCTGGTGTGTGGAGCTGGGCTGCTTCCCGGCTAAGATGAACCGCATGTACCTGGAGGCGGGCAGACACGGGGGATGGGGTCGGGCATAACCACCCGGTCAGGCCATCGGGCGACTCTCCAAGTCCCTCCCACGCCCACCTTCCCGCCTCGTCTCCGCCCTCCGGAGGCAGGAAGCTGGCCCTGCGCTGGGCCTTAGAGCTGGTGAGCTGAAACCGGTGTGGCTCAGTGTATGGAGTGTCAGCCTGCGGACTGAAATGTCCCAGGTTCGATTCCTGTCAAGGGCATGCATGTACCTTAGTTGCAGGCACATCCCCGGGTGTGTGTGTGTGTGTGTGTGTGTGTGTGCAGGAGGCTGCCGATGGGTGTTTCTCTCTCATGGATGTTTCTAACTCTCTATCCCTCTCCCTTCCTCTCTGTAAAAAATCAATAAAATATATTTTTTTAAAAAAAGAACTGGTGTGACCATGGCAGGGGCCGGCCTTGACTGGGGTCCTGGCGGGGCTGTGAGTGCCCGACAGCTCAGGAGGATGGGAGGGGACACTCGCTTGCGGCTGCAGGGACGGGGGGCAGTTCGGCACAGGCCTTGGAACCAGATTTCCCGGTTCCAATCCCCACAGGCCCACTTGCTCGTTGTGGGGCCGTGGGCACGTCCCTTCAGGGCCTTGTGCCTCTGTTTCCTCCTAAGTGACAGGACCGCCTCGCGCCCGGGGTCACTGTGAAGGCTCAGGGTTGGGCACCAGGAAGGCTCTGGGGCACATGCTTGACCCAGCGGGCGCTCAGTCAGTGTTGGGTGCGCTCTTCTTTCCAGCGGCTTTGTGTCATGTATTAAACACGCTTAAGAATTACATGGAACCGCCAAAACCGGTGCGGCTCAGTGGGTAGAGCGTCGGCCTGCGGACTGCAGGGTCCCAGGTTCCATTCCGGTCAAGGGCATGTCCCTTGGTTGGGGGCACATCCCCAGTAGGAGGCGTGCAGGAGGCAGCTGATCCATGATTCTAACTCTCTACCCCTTTCCCTTCCTCTCTGTGAAAAATCAATAATATATATATATATATTTAAAAAATTACATGTAACCAATTCTTCTTTCTTTCATATCTCCCTTCCTGCTCGCTACTTTCCTGAGACCCCGTGTGGCCAGCGAATGCCCTCGGTCAGTGGTGGGCAAACTCATTGGTCCAGAGAGCCCAATATCAACAGGACAGCGACGGACATTCCTTTGGAGGGCCACATCTTTTAAACCTCAACTTCTTCTGACGCCACTTCTTCAGAACAGACTCGCCGGGGCCGTGGCATGTTGTGAAGGAGCCGCGCTCCGGGGGCCCAAGAGCCGCGCGTGGCTCGGGAGCCGCCGTTTGCCGACCACGGCCCTACCTTCTGTGCCTCAGGGGGCGGTGACCTTGGACGGGACGGCGCTCGGTCTCCGTCTCCTCGCCCTCAACGGGAGCGGAGGGTCCCCCGCCCCTCTGGGGTCCCTCCCGGCTGCTGTGCGGACCCCACGGGCCCAGAGTGAGCCGCCCCCGGGCGCCTACCGGCGGTAGATGGTGGTGTAGGCCATCTTGGCCCAGGTGTTGAAGAAGTTCAGCCGCTGGATGAGGTCGTTGACCCAGGAGGCCAGGGGCTTGCACGACCTGTAGGCGTGTCTCTGTTGGGACGAGAGACGGCATGGGAGGTCGCTTAGCTTTTTCCGGCCACGGACGCAGGCTGTTGCTGGGGGCAACGGGGGCGGGAGCGGCCAGAATTGGGCAGCCAGTCCCCCACCGCACCCCCCACCTCACCCCAACCTCCTACCGTACAGCCTCCCGTCCCCCCCCCCCCCCCCCCCCCGTCTCCCCCGTGTCACCGCACACAGCGGCCGCTCCCCCTGGCGGCTGGCCCGCAGGAGGCCTGGGCCCACGGCCAGCCCGACTTGGGGTTGACCCTGGCCTGGAGCTGGCCTTGGCCCCGCCAGCTGCTCCTCCCCTGGCGTGCCCCTGGGGGGAAGGGGGTCAGGGTGACGGGGGGCCTAGGGGCCGGGGTGCTGTCAGCTGGCTTTGCCGGCACTCCCAAGACTCTGAATTGCGTTTCTGGAATTTAAAGCACGTATGCCCTCTCTCCGCACACGTGTGCACACATCAGCCCGGGTCTCATGTGTGTATGTGCTCATCATATCTTCAAACGACCCGTTTTCCTTGAAACAGTATCGCCGCATCGTCATTTAACTGGGTTCCCGTTACGAGGAATGACGCCGTTCTCAGCTTTATGCCGTCACAAACCAGTCCCGGGATAGATTCCTGAGATAAATGTGTTTGAGCAGGATTGCCGAATTTCCCTCCAAGGCAGTGTGGTTCTCAACCTTTCTAACGCCGAGACCCTCTCCTACAGCTCCTCATGCTGTGACATTATTGTTGTTGCTCCTTCACCACTGTAATGTTGCTACTGTTACGGATCGTTAAACGTAAGTATCTGTGTGTTCCGATGGTCTCAGGGTGAGAACCACTAGCAGGGCCGCCTGAGACCGTCAGGAAAAAAACGGATATTTAGATGACGATTCATAACAGTAGCAACATGACAGTTACGAAGTAGCCACGAAAATAATTCTATTGGTGGGACTAGCCGATGTGGCTCAGTGGACAGAGCGTTGGCCTGCGGACTGAAAGGTCCCGCGTTCGATTCCGGTCAAGGGCGTGTACCTTGGTGGCGGGCACGTCCCCGGACGGGGGTGTGCAGGAGGCAGCTGATCGAGGATTCTCTCTCATCGGTGTTTCTAATTCTCTATCCCTCTCCCTTCCTCTCTGTGTAAAAAAAAAAAAAAAAAAAAAAAAAAAAAAAATTCAATAAAGCCGAAACCGGTGTGGCTCAGTGGACAGAGCGCCGGCCTGCGGACTGAAAGGTCCCGGGTTCGATTCCGGTCAAGGGCATGTGCCTTGGTTGCGGGCACATCCCCAGTCGGGGGTGTACAAGAGGCAGCTGATCGATGATTCTCTCTCATGGATGTTTCTAACTATCTCCTTTCCTGTTGGGGGAAAAAAAAATCAATAAAATATATTAAAAACAAATAATGTTATGGTTGGGGGGGCGCCACGTGAGGAACTGTATGAAAGGGCCGGGGCCTTAGGACGGTTGAGGACCCCTGGGCTAAGAGATCTGATCAGCATCCACTCGCCCACAGCGTGTCGCACCTTGTCACGGAGGCGTGCCAGCGGCCACGTGGCTGCACACGGTCAGCCTGCTCCTGCGACCCATCGGTGACCGTGGGGGGACCCCTCCCTGCTCACCTGCCACAGCGCGGGCACGCGTCCCGTGAGGAAGGCGTTGTACATCTCCTCCAGCTCCTGCCCCAGCACGATCTCCCCCTTGACGGCCAGCTGGAGGTCCCTCAGGGACTCGTGTACGACAAGCAGCAGCTGGTTGAAGAGTCCGATTTCTTGCTTCAGGAAGGTCAGCAGGACGCAGTGGGTGAAGGGGTCATAGCCTGCATCAGGGAGAGCGAGGGCGGCGGTATTTCTGCCCGGCCTGCCCCGGGGGGGGGGGGGGCGGGCTCGGTCCACAGGGGAGGGCGTGCAGGAGGCAGGGGGTCAATGATTCGGTCTCATTGTGGATGTTTCCCTCCCTCTCTCCCTCTCCCTTCCTCTCTAAACATATTAAAAAAAAAAAAAAAAAAAAAAAAGGAGAGCAATAGGATTTGGAGGTTAAAGGAATTTCATTTGTCCAGGGAGGATGGGGACCGGTATGTGTGAGTGTATGAATGCATGTGTGCGTCTGTGAGTGTGCATGTGAGAGAGAGAGAGAGAGAGAGAGAGAGACACTGATATGAGAGACACATCCATCGATAGGCTGCCTCCTGCATGTGCCATGACCAGGGCTGGGGATGGAGCCTGCAGCCGAGGCACATGTGTGATCTTGACTGGAATTGAACCCGGGATCCTTCAGTCCGAGGGCCGATGCTCTAACCACTGGGAAAACCAGCTGGGGCCGAGTGGCTTCTCTCGGTTGCTACCGTGATTATGTCTCCATTCTTAGTCTGCAGCCACCACCACCCTCCCCTCCCCAGCCCCCAACCCGATCCCACCCCGATCCCACCCCCCACCTCTCACCCCTTCCTCCGTGCCCTTCCGTCCCGTCTCTGCCCCGGCCCCGACCCTGACCCTGACCCTGACCGTAACCTCTCACCCCTTCCTCCGTGCCCTTCCGTCCCGTCTCTGCCCTGACCCCGACCCCGACCCTGACCCTGACCCTGACCGTAACCTCTCACCCCTTCCTCTGTGGCCCTTCTGTCCCGTCTCTGCCCTGACCCCGACCCTGACCCTGACCCTGACCCTGACCGTAACCTCTCACCCCTTCCTCTGTGGCCCTTCCATCTGTCTCTTCCCTGACCCTGACCCTGACCTCTCACCCTTTCCTCTGTGGCCCTTCCGTCCATCTTGGTCCTGACCCTGACCCTGACCGTAACCTCTCACCCCTTCCTCTGTGGCCCTTCCGTCCCGACTCTGCCCTGACCCCAACCCTAACCCTGACCCTGACCCTGACCGTAACCTCTCATCCCTTCCTCCGTGCCCTTCCGTCCCGTCTCTGCCCCGACCCCGACCCTGACCCTGACCCTGACCCTGACCGTAACCTCTCATCCCTTCCTCCGTGCCCTTCCGTCCCGTCTCTGCCCTGACCCCGACCCTGACCCTGACCCTGACCCTGACCCTGACCCTAACCCTGACCGTAACCTCTCACCCCTTCCTCTGTGGCCCTTCCATCTGTCTCTGCCCTGACCCCGACCCTGACCCTGACCCCTGACCCTATCTGCCTGGTGCCAGAGTCCTGCGCTGGGACAGGGGGAATGGAGGAGGATGGTGGGAAGAGGGAAGAGGGGGAGGGTAGAGGAGGGGACGAGGGAGGGCCGCTCGCTCGCCTGGCAGGCTGGTGTGCAGCTCCTCCCACACGGTGCCCGCCATGATGCTGCGCAGGGTGCCCTGGGCGCCGGAGACCTCCTCCTTCTCCACGGTCAGCGGCAGCCGCTTCTGCACGTCCGCCAGCGTCTCCAGCACCAGCTCGTCACCGCTGGGCTCCCGGCTGCACAGAGGGAGGGTGGAGCGTGAGGGCTGCACGGGAGGCCCGGCCCCCCTCCCCTCTGCCTGTTCGGATGGGAATTCCCGACATCTCACGTGTCAGCAAACTCTGTTTAAGAGCACAGCTCACTCACCACAGCTCCCTCCCCCCTACATGCTTGGTAACTGTGTGTCAGTGTGCATGTGTGTGTGAGAGAGTGCAGGCGCGTGTGAGTGGGTATGCATGTCAGTGTGCACATGTGTGTGTAAGTGTGCACGTGTGGGACTGCGCATGTGTGCATATATATGGGTGTGCATGTGTGTGAGAGTGAATGCGTGGGGGTGCGTATGTGCATGCATGAGAGTGTGCATGTGCGCATGTGTGTATGTGAATGTATGCGAGTGTGTGTGCTTGTGTGTGAGTGCATGTGTGCATGTATGTGAACGTGCATGTGTGTGAGAGTGTGAATGTGCATATGTGCATGTGTATGAGAGTGTGCATGTGTGCATGAGTGTGCATGTGTGTATGTGAATGTGACTGCGTGTGCTTGTGTGAGTGCATGTGTGCATGTGTGTGAGCGTGCATGTGTGTGAGTGTGAATGTGTATGTGCATGTGTGTGAGAGTGCATGTGTGCATGTGAATGTATGTGTGTGAGTGCGTGTGTGCTTGTGAGTGTGAGTGCATGTGTGCATGTGAGTGCATGTGTGTGAGCACATTGTGTGAGTGCATGTGGGTGTGAGTGTGCACGTGTGTGTGCGCCTGGGTGTGCACTGGCTTCTGTCCCTGGAGAGCCCAGGTTTTGCACTCTCAGGTGACACCCTCTGAGTCCGGCCCTGCACCCCCCCAGGCGGACACGCCGGCCCCTCCCCGCCCCACACGGGGGAGCGAGGGGTCGCACCTGACGGGGAGGCTGGGCGTGGCCGCCTTGGCCTGCAGCGCCGCCAGGTGGTCCAGGAAGGCCTGCGCCTGCGCCTGCCGGCAGCCCCGCGTGGCCTCGGGGTGCAGCCCCAGCAGCTCGGCCGGCTCGTCGTCCGGCAGCGCCTGCACCGCGCGGCGGTAGGCCCGCAGGCTGGCCGGCTCCGGCAGGCACAGCTGGGGGGCACACGGCGTCAGCTCCCACCTCGGGGTCCCCCCTCTCCCCCCAGAAACGTCCCCCGGAGCCTCTATCCGCAGGGGCATGTGCCAGGCCGGCGGGCGGCAAACTCAGCGGTCCACAGAGCCCCATGCCAGCAGCACCGGGACGGACAGGTCTCCGGAGAGCCACGTCCTAACGCCGCGTCTTCCACACAGACTCGCCGGGGCCGTGGTGCTGTGTGCAAGAGCCGCCCTCCGGGGGCCCGAGAGCCGCCGTTTGCCGACCACGGGCCCAGGCCCTTCCGCCAAGCAGCACCTGGGACCTGGCATGGCGAGGTGCTTGCGTGACGCGCACACACAACGCTCTCGTGGGGAAGCGTGCAAAGGAGGGAGGGAGAGGAAGGCACGGCCACCCGCCCTGGCTGGTGTGGCTCAGTGAATAGAGCATCGGCCTGCGGACTGGGGGGCGCGGGGGGAGGGGGGGTCCCGGGTTCGATTCCGGCCAAGAGCACGTGCCTGGGTTGCGGGCTCGATCCCCAGGAAGGGACGGGCAGGAGGCAGCCGGTCCATGATTCTAACCTCATCACGGATGCTTCCATACATCTCTCTCTCTCCCCCCCTTCGTCTCCGAAGTCAATAAAAAATATTTAAAAAATGAAAGAAACGACCCCCCCAAGCAACCACGATCGAGCTTCGACACCTCACTGCCTGTGCCGCCCCCCACAGAGGAGGGGGCGGGGGCGTGTGCGTCCTGAGTCCTCCCCCAGGACCATCGTTCCCGTGGGTTCTGAGCGGGAGTGGGAGGGAGGAAGGGGGTTAAGGAGAAGGAGGGTGAGGGAGAGACAATCGAGACACTGAGACGAGAGCGACACCACGCCTGGATGCCTCCCGTGCTCCGGCCTGCCGCCCAGGGGCGCGCCCCGGACCGGGAACCGAACCGGAGACCCTCTGGCTGTCCTAACCACTGCGCCACACTGGCCCGGGCTGGGAGAGGGATCTCGAGGACGACGGACCATCCCAGGGATGGGGGTGCACACGGCCGAGAGGCGCAGAGCTTCTGGCTGTGAAATGCAGGGGTCCAGCGACAGAAAGCAACCGGGCCCTGGGGCCAGGGGCTGGGAGGGGCGCCGAGAGCAGCGGCCGCTGACCAGCAGGTAGTTGTCAGGGTCACGGCCACGTGGTTTCGTGACACCGAGGTTCATAAGAGCCACGAAAAGGGCACCTGGAAGTCACTTTAGGTGCGGACCACAAATCCTTTGGCAATGCCGAAACCGGTGTGGCTCAGCGGATAGAGCGCCGGCCTGCGGACGGAAAGGTCCCGGGTTCGATTCCCGTCAAGGGCATGTGCCTTGGTGGCGGGCACATCCCCCAGTGGGGGGGTGTGCAGGAGGCAGCCGGTCCATGTTTCTCTCTCATCGATGTTTCTCTCTATCCCCCTCTCTTTCTCTCTGTTAAAAAAAAAAAAAAAATAGAAAGAAAAATCAACAAAATATATTTAAAAAAAATTCTTTGACAATAACTTAGTTAAAAACAACCAAGCCTGCCCTTGCCACTTTGGCTCAGTGGGTAAGAGCAGTGGCCATAAGAGCACTGGACTGAAGGGTTTGGGGTTCGATACCGGTCAAGGGCACGTACCTCAGGTGCAGGCTGCATCCCTGGCCGGGTCAGGGCGTGTGTGTGCGCGGGAGGCAACCGATCGGTGTGTCTCTCTCACATCGCTGCTTCTCTTTCTCTGTCTCTCCCCCCAATCCCTTCCTCTCTCTCTGAAAATAAAACTAAGTCCTAACCGGTGTGGCTCAGCGGATGGAGCGTCGGCCTGTGGACTGACCGGGTCCTGGGTTCGATTCCGGTCAAGGGCACGTGCCTTGGTTGCGGGCACGTCCCCAGTAGGGGGCGTGCAGGAGGCAGCTGATGGCTGTTTCTCTCTCATCGATGTTTCTCACTCTCTCTCCCTCTTCCTTCCTCTTTGTTAAAAAAAAAAAAAAATCAATAAAATTAAAAAAATGACATTTAAAAAAGGCAAGATCTCATTCTTAACAAACACACGATCCAGTCCCGCGGGACGGCTCCCCCCGCCCTCACCTCCTCGCTGAAGAAGCTGAAGTCGGGGCGCAGCACGTCGGGGTTGCAGAAGCGGAGCAGCAGGGTGCTGAGGCAGCGCTGGTCCCAGGGGTCGGTCACCTGGCCCCCGTACACCACCTCCCCGAGCAGGTAGTGCAGCTTGGGCCACGGCACGGCCTGCTGGCCGCTCAGGGCGCTCTCCAGCACCCTCACCGCCACCTGCGGGACACACGCACACACACACACGCTCCTGTCATGTCAGGGTGTGTCCTGGGCAGCGCTCTGCCCTGGAAACGCGCGAGCAGAGGCCCTCACACGGCTGCCTGTGTTTTCTCCGTGGAAAGACACGGAACAGCAAGAGGAACAGAGGCTGTCCGCCGAAACCGGCGTGGCTCAGTGGATAGAGCTGTCGGCCTGCGGACTGAAGGGTCCCAGGTTCGATTCCGGTCAAGGGCACATCCCCAGTATGGGGTGTGCAAGAGGCAGCTGGTCGATGATTCTCTCTCATCCATGTTTCTAGCTCTCTATCCCTCTCTCTTCCTTTCTGTAAAAAATCAATAAAATATATTTAATGAAAAAAAAATGAAAGAAACACCAGGCTGTCCCTGTCTATCCATGACTTCCTTTGTTGTTGTTGTTGTTAAACTCACACCGAACTACTTAATTAACTTCTGAGTGGAGTCCACAGGCCACTCTGCCCCCTGCCGAGAGGGGCTGGGCCTGCTGGCCGCACACGACAGTCTCAGCGTGGCCCCCGGCCCAGGCCCTGCCCCCGGCCCTCCTGGGGCTGCCCGGCTCTGTGCTGAGAACGCAGTTAAATCTCCTGCTCGGTCCCCCTCCAGTGACGCGCCTTCCCTTTGGCTTGAGGACAAAGTGGATTCGATTCCTGCTGCCCCAGGCTCCAAACCAGAAAACCCAGCCCAAACCACACCAAACCAACCCAAACCAAACTGAACCAACCCAAACTGAACCAACCCAAACTGAACCAAACCAAACCAAACCAACCCAAACCAAACTGAACCAACCCAACCCAACCCAACCCAACCCAACCCAAACCAAACCAAACCAAACTGAACCAACCCAAACTGAACCAACCCAACCCAATCCAACCCAACCCAAACCAAACCGAACCGCCTGCCCTCAGTGTGGACTCCACCTGTGAACCAGGAGGTCACGGTTCGATTCCCGGTCAGGGCATGTGCTGGGGTTTCAGGCTCCATCCCTAGTAAGGGGTGTGCAAGAGACAGCCGATCTATGATTCTCTCTCATCATGGATGTTTCTCTCTCTGTATGTATATATCTATATATCTATACATCTATGTATAGATGTATAGATATATAGATATGTATCTATGTATCTATATCTATCTATCTCTCTATCTATCTCTCTATCTCTATCTCTATCTCTATCTCTCTATCTCTCTATCTCTCTATCTCTCTAAACCTCTAAACCTCTAAACCTCTATACCTCTCTCTCTCTCTATCTCTTTATCTCTATACCATCTATATCTATATCTATATCTATATCTATATCTATATCTATATCTATACCTCTATACCTCTATACCTCTATACCTCTATCTATGCCTCTATCTATGCCTCTATCTATGCCTCTATCTATGCCTATATCTATATCTATATCTATATCTATATCTATATCTATATCTATATCTCTACCTATATTTATATCTAGTACCTCAGTCTTTTCTTAGAAGCAGGTCACCTGATTAAACTGTTTGGAACTGTAAGACTCCAAACCAGACAACCCAACCCAAACCACCCGCGTGAGTGCGGCCTGGGTGGCGGCGGCCCTGGTGTCACCGTTTCCTGCCCGAGTCCCTGTTTCCTCTGCTGGCTGCTGCCCTCCTCCGCCCTGTGTGTGACTCTCGGTCACAGACTTCGCTGCCCGCCCCCCTGCCCCCCGGCCCGGGCCAGGCCCCCCCGCCGCCCCCCGCCCCCTGGGCCAGGCCCCCCCACCCGGCCACCCCCCCCCCCGGCCAGGCCCCCCCCCCCGAGGGCCGAGCCGCCGTCACCTCGAAGTCGGACGGGCTGAACTCGTAGTGGACGTTCCAGCCCAGGACGCCGTACTTCCTCCTCTCGCTGATGAGGGCGTGGAAGAAGCACAGGCCGAAGAGCAGCTTCTTCCACCAGGGCCCGCAGTCCGCGCGCTCGAAGCCGCCCTCCGTCACCTCGCCGCTGCCGTCCTGGCCCAGCGCCTTCAGCAGGCTGCTCTTCAGCCCCATGGGCTCCTCCACGGCCACCTGCCCCGGGGGAACGGCAAATCCGACATCCCCCGGGCCCGGCCGGTGTGGCTCAGTGGCTGAGCTCGACCTACGCACCAGGAGGCCCCGGTTCGATTCCCGGTCAGGGCATGTGCCGGGGTTTCAGGCTTGATCCCCAGTGGGGGGGCGTGCAGGAGGCAGCTGACCAGGATTCTCTCTCATCACTGATGTTTTTATCTCTCTGTATGTGTATGTATATGTGTATATGTATATCTGTATATCTGTATATCTATATATCTATATCTCTATATATATCTATAGCTATATCTCTGTATGTATATCTACATCTATTTATTTCTATGTATATCTATATATCTATATATCTATATATCTATATTTATATATCTCTATCTATATCTCTGTATGTATATCTACATCTATAATATATCTATATATCTCTGTATGTATATCTATATCTAATCTCTATATATCTATATATCAATATATCTATATATCTATACATCTATATCTGTATCTATATCTCTGTAGGTATATCTATCTCTGTATGTATATCTATCTCTATCTCTATATCTCTAGTAATTTGGTCTTAGAAGTGGGTCACCTGATTAAACTGTTTGGAACTTTAAGACTAGTTGTGTTTACTGCGAGATTATCTTCTGTCCTGGCTTAAAGTCTTGCTGACAGTACCTTACCAGCAGTATGTGAGGTGGCTAGTTCACGGCACACTTAATTTACAAATCAGGTCCGAACCAGCTTCCTCTTTGCCAGTTCCATGGGCTGCCAGAGGCGTCGCCTTGTTCCGGTTTGGATTTCTCTGATGTCTGGGGGCCGAGTTTTTATTTTTCATCTACTTACTGACCTCTGGTGTCCTTTCTCACTTTTTGTGGGATATCAGCATCCTTCCTTGTTAGGAAAACTACCCTCTGTCTGCACAGACGATGGGATATAAAACCCCATCAAGTTCTATGCATGAATGAAAAACATTAAAGACATTTTCTCGCCCTAACTGGTGTGGCTCAGTGGATAGAGCGTCAGCCTGCGCACTGAAGGGTCCCAGGTCAAGAGCATGTACCTTGGTTGCGGGCACATCCCCAGTGGAGGTTGTGCAGGAGGCAGTTGATCAATATTTCTCTCTCATCGATGTTTCTAACTCTGTCCCTCTCCCTTCCTTTCTGTAAAAATCAATAAAATATATTAAAAAACAAAAACAAAAACAAAAAACTTTGTTCTTACCTTCAAGCTCTTCTGAAGAAGGGGAACTGGTAAAGAACTGTCTGATTCTGAGCTTAACCACAGCCGAAACTCGGGGTCTCTGGTCACAGCTGGGTCGTTAAGTCTGCAAATTAAAAAAAAAAAAAATGTGTATACTGATGTGAGAAACTTAAACCACACCCATGGGTTCTAAGAATCATTGTTATTTCGATGTTTTAAGGGAACTGAGAAATCATTTTAACAATCAAAGAGCTTGTCAGACTACCCTCAGAACTTCCACGTTGCACAAGAATTTGCACGAGACCCATGAAATCCCGTTTTAAGAAACTAGTTTTTGGTCCCAAGTTTGAAGCAACATGTACTCATTGCAGAAACCTGGGAAAATGACAAATTAAAAACTAAACAGAATGCAACTTTTCTGCAAGTCTAAACTTATTACTTTTTAATTTACAAACAAAACAAAACAAAACTAAAGCAACAAAAGCAAATACACACAAGAAAAGGCTGAACACAAAATTAAACAGAAAAACAAAAAATATGAAATTCTACTAAGCATGGCTTTATTCTCTCTCTCATTTCTTGAATAAAATTATTGTAGTACACATCCTGCTTGTAGCCTGCTATTTTTCTCTTAGCTGGGTGCACTCTAAGGTCCCAGGTTCGATTCTGTTCAAGGGCATGTACCTTGGTTGCGGGCACATCCCCAGTAGGAGGCATGCAGAAGGCAGCTGATTGGCGTTTCTCTCTCATCTATGTTTCTAACTCTCTATTCTCTCTTCCTCTCTGCCAAAAAAAAAAAAAAATCAATAAAAATATATTTAAATTTTTAAAATAAATAAAATAAAATGGAATAGCTGATTAAAAAAGAAAGAAAGAAAGAAAGAAAGAAAGAAAGAAAATTCTTAGTGTAGCTGTCAAGATGCTGGGGGAAAAGAGAATGGATGTAAGACAGCTTCCGTTTCCTCTGAGGGTCCAATGTTCACACCCTGGCTGCAGCACAGGCACACGCAGCTGTCGCCCCTCCCCGTGTGGCCCCCCTGATCAGCGACAAACACGCGGGTCACTCACGAGTCCACGATGGTGCACAGCCGGGGCATGAAGGACGCGGCGAGGTGGCAGTTCTGCAGCAAGACCCACTGCCCGGCTTTGGTGAGGGCCTCGGCGATGAGGTCCTCAGCTTTGGCTGCCCGGCCCTGGCCCAGGGACAGCATGGTCACGTGCTCCGTGGTTCCTCTGGAGTCCTGGGCGAACTTCAGGAGCGTGTTGGTGACGTCCACCCCTGAGGACCGAGGCAGAGAGAGACATCCGCTGTGAGCTCCGACAACTTCCCCTGAACTCCAGCTGTGAGCTCCGACAACTCCCCCTTAACTCCAGCCTCGCACTGTGCAGCTGTGCGTGGTGGTGGGAGGACATGGAGATGGGGCTGGGGGAAGGGGCTAGGCTTTCTAGCAGCCACTTCTGTCACCGACTCCCACATCACTGTCCCTTCGTCCTCGGTGGCTGAAGCTCAGTGCTCCCCGAGGTGGCGGGCACCCAGCGAAGATACTGTATTTGCAGCCTCTCTTGCCACTAGGGTTGGGCATCCAAGTCTGGCAAAGAGGCGTTGGCAGCCATGTTTGTCACATGGCTGTGTGAAACTGTCCTTTCCCTCCGTTCTGTGGCTTGGAAGTTGGATTCGTGACGGCTAGTCACTGCCACCTTGGGCCAAGTCTTTTTATTTATTTTTTATTTTTATTTTATTTTATTGATTTTCCACAGAGAGGAAGGGAGAGGGATAGAGAGCTAGAAATGTCGATGAGAGAGAGAGACATCGATCAGCTGCCTCCTGCACCCCCCCCACTGGGGATGTGCCCGCAACCAAGGTACATGCCCTTGACCGGAATCGAACCCGGGACCCTTTAGTCCGCAGGCCGACGCTCTATCCACTGAGCCACACCGGTTTCGGTGGGCCAAGTCTTTAAGGAAAGGACGGCACCTACGTGGCAGGCTTGGGGACAGGTGTTCTACACAGAAGGGTTTCTGACAAGAGAGTCTGTATGTGAAAGGCATTTTGAGCAAGATTTTTGCCCAGTGGAATCCAAGTCTGAAAACGGTGAGTCCTTAGGGTATGTTTGATTTGGAGATAATGAGGAGCGGAAGATGCATGAAGAAAGTATTTTGTTTAGGGTCCCGGACAAGAAAATGAAAAAAGAAAAGCACTGGGGGTTTTGAGGAATACAAAAGCTGGGTCAGAGGACCGATTTCTGATAGTTTCTTTTCGAACGTATATATTTTTTCATGAGTCGATGCTAATTCAACAATCAACGAATATAAGGGAAATCTCAATGTTCTGGTCAATAATATGAGTTTGGGAGCTATTTCCTGTCCACACAGTTTCTGTCTGCACAGAAAACTAGTGCTGATACATGTTTTCATATTTGTAAATCTTTGTCCTATTACACTTTTTCAAGGGATCATTGTTTGCTTTTTTAAAAAAAATATCTGTACTTTTATTGATTTCAGAGAGGAAGGGAGAGGGAGAGAGAGAGAGAAACATCAACGATGAGAGAGAATCACTGATCGGCTGCCTCCAGCATGCCCCCCACTGGGGGATAGATCTCACAACCCAGGCCTGTGCCCTTGACCGGAAATTGAACCGTAACCACTGAGCCACACCAGCTGGGCAAAAGGTTCATTCTTACTGTACTTTAACGTTTTAATCTGTCCCTTTTACATGGAAAATATCTTAAAGCGGACGCAGCCTTACTTCTCCACGTCTTACAAACGGCGGTGCCATCTCACCGGCTTCCCCGCGGCTCACCTCGCGCGTGGATCAGCATCACCGGGGTGCAGGCGTTGGAGTCCTTGTAGGACTCCTTCAGGTTGATTCCGGTTCTGTGGATGTATTTGCTTCCTATCTTTTCAGTGATAAACTTCCTCACAGAGTTCTTCAAACGCTCCGGTCTGAGGACTTTTATCTGGAAAAGAAGATGGAAGCTGAAGGGGTGGGGCCCGGACACCGTCTCTGGGGGGATCTGCGCTCTCCGTGTGGTCGGTCACAACACTGTGTCCCCCGCGTGCGGCTGGCTCCTGCTCTGTCTGTCTCACCGACCCATCCAGCATGGTTAGACTGTCCCCACTGTTCTCATTTTCAACCCCAAGGACTTGAAATATATATTTTTTTATTGATTTCAGAGAGGGGGAGAGAGAGAGAGAGAGAAACATCAATGGTGAGAATCATGGATCAGCTGCCTCCTGCACCCCGCACTGGGGAGGGAGCTCGCAACCTGGGCCTGGGCCTGTGCCCTGACCGGGAATCGAGCTGTGACCTCCTGGTTCCTAGCTCGCGGCTCAACCCCTGGGCCACACCGGCCGGGCTGCTTACTCAACCTTAAATCTGAAGGGTTTAGTGACTGTGAAAGCGCTTGAAACACTTAGAATGCCAATTATTTGCTCACAGCGCATCTTACCAGAATAAGTCTTTGGAATGGAGTGAGTTTCTCCCAGGGAAAACTGACGGGACTTCGTAACTCTTCGTGTTCATTCAGAAATTCAACTAGATGTGATGGAGAGAGGGAAACAGGGATTAGCCATGGGATGCTTTAGCTCACGAAAAGACGCCACAAAGGAACAAAAGGAACTAACAATCCGAGTGGAGACAGACGCATGGATAGAAAGCAGGCTGCCAGCTATCGGTGGTGGTGGTGGTGGTGGTGGGGGCTGGGTGGAGGGGGCAGAGGAATTGAGAAAAAGAAGAGAATGAAGCATTGGACACGGAGAGCAGTGTGGTGACTGTGGGGGGTAGAGGAGGGAAAGGAAGGAGAGAAGGGGTAGTTGAGGAGGCATAGAGGGATAAATGGTGATGGAAGGAGACTGGACTTGGGGTGGTGTAAGGGGCAGGGAAAAGTGAGAAGGAAGAGCTCAAACTGAAAAAAATAAAAATAAAAAAATGGAAAAAGATATTAAAAGTAACAAGTCATTTAAATTAAGTTCTATTGCCTATGCAATTTCTGAAACACATCTCTTATATAAAACAATCTCTAAAACACATCTGTTAGCCACTGGGCTCAGTGGATAGAGCGCCGGCCTGCGGACTGAAAGGTCCCAGGTTTGATTCCGGTCAAGGGCATGTGCCTTGGTTGCGGGCACATTCCCGACGGGGGGTGTGCAGGAGGCAGCTGATCGATGATTCTCTCTCATCAATATTTCTAACTCTCTATCCCTCACTTCATCTCTGTAAAAAATCAATAAAATACATTTAAACACACACACACACACACACACAAAAACAGCCAACAATATCTAAAACACATCTGTTAGCCCTAGCTGTTTGGCTCAGTGGATAGAGCATCAGCCTGTGGACTGAAGGGTCCCGGGTTCGGTTCCAGTCAAGGGCACGTGCCCGAGTTGTGGGTTCCATCCCCAGTAGGGGGTGTGCAGGAGGCGGCCGATTTATGACTCTCTCTCATCATGGATGCTTCTCTCTCCCCCTCTCCCTTCCTCTCTGAAATCAATAAAAATATATTTTTTGAGGTGCTTACAACACAGTAATGGTTCATCCTCTAAGCTACTCCATCTGTAAGGTGATACTCTACACACACACACACACACACACATGGCTGCGAGCAAGTTAGGCCTCTTACTTTCCTCCGGGGACCTCTCGCTGTCTTCCGCCTCGGGACAGAAAGGCGTGGCCAGCAGGACGTACAGCGCCTGGCTGTCTTGGAACACGCTCCACTGGGCCACGTTGGACAGCAGGGACCGGCACAGGAGAGAGAAGGCTTCCAGCCGCCCGCTGAGGTACAGGCACTGCTTCCACCGCGGGTGCGAGACCCACTGCAGGTGCCGTCTCCTGCACGTCTCGTACAGGCCTGGAGGGGGAGGAGAAACGGTCACGGCGGAGGAGACACACCCTGTCCCCGAGGGACGCACTGCCAAGTGGATGCTGGGTAAGTACCTATGGTTGGGAGAAAGCTATGTCGTATAATGATTCTATATCATAAAAGCCCAACGACCGAATGGCAGAATGACCAGAATGACCAGTCTACCGGACGCTAGTGAGTGCATGGACCACCAGGGAGCACACGCGCAATGCAGGCACTTCCCCCGGGTGGTCGTTGCATGTCCTAGCGACCGGTCAGCCGGTCAGAACAGTCACGTAGGCTTTTATATATATAGATTTTGTATATCCACTCTTTATCAGACATACAATTTGAAATATTTCTCTCATTCCATAGCTTGTCTTTCGCTCCGTTGATTATGAGCTTTGATGTCCAGGTTTCGATGTGTGATGCGGTCCCATTTGTCTATCTTCTCTTCTGTTGCCTGCGCATTGGACCCCGCCCACAACTGACCCAGCAGCTCCTCTGGTCCTCAAGGCCTTGGGACTGAATCACACCACGTGCTTCGCTGGATCCTCCAGCTTACAGGTGACGGACCGATCCCGGGACTATTCAGCCTTCTAATCAGGCCGGCTAGAGCTATCCTGACCGTGGCAACCGTCACTCACTCACCCCAACACTGTTGAGCACCAATGACACGCCCAGCAGAACAGGGGGTCCTGTGATGACACAGACACTGCCCTGGAACCCACACTGCTTTTAGTGCAACGCACACAGAAGCACCAAGCGGGGGCACCTCAGAAGCCTTGGATGTTTCTTTGCCGAAATCGGTTTGGCTCGGCAGATAGAGCGTCTGCCTGCGGACTGAAAGGTCCCAGGTTCGATTTCGGTCAAGGGCATGTACCCTGGTTGCAAGCACGTCCCCAGTGGGGGGCGTGCAGGAGGCAGCTGGTCGATGTTTCTCTCTCGTCGATGTTTCTGACTCTCTCTCTCTCTCTCTCCCTCTTTTCCTCTCTGTGAAAAATCAGTAAAATATATTTTTGTTAAAAAAGCAAAGAAGAAACCTTTGGTGTTTCTCGGGTAAATACTGTTGTGGCCGGCAAGACCCAGTCGAGGCAGGGCTCCAGGCCAGGGAAGGAACAAGCAACCAGACCCACAACAAAGAATGTCGCATGATACGTTTTAGCCGAGCATCACTGTTAGTCATAAAATAGTTCTGTTGCAAGGCTCAACCCCCAGGCAGGCACGTCCTGTGTCCAGTAGCCGCAAGGCAGAACAAACAGACCAAACCAGGTCAAACAGAGATTGCTTAAACTGAAAATAAACCCCCACCCCAGGTGTTGTATGAACTTTATTTATTTATTTATTATTTATTTATATATTTTAAAAATATATTTTATTGATTTTTTTTTTTTTTACAGAGAAGAAGGGAGAGAGATAGAGAGCTAGAAATGTCAATGAGAGAGAAACAGCGACCAGCTGCCTCTTGCACAGCCCCTACCGGGGAATGTGCCCGCAACCAATGTACACGCCCTTGACCGGAATCGAACCTGGGACCTTTCAGTCCGCAGGCCGACGCTCTACCGAGCCACACCGGCTTCGGCTGTTGTATGAACTTTAAATGTTACTGTACTAGTGGAATTTTCTACAGCTTATAACTGTCCTTTCTTTGTTAAAACTTTTAGCCAATCACAATCTGCCGGGCACCCCTAAGACGGGGGAAAAGCAGCGTGCTTAGCGTGGATCGAGGCTCTCTTGGCTCGCTGTTGTGTCAGTTGAGACGTGAGCCCGCACTCGAGCCCGTAACAAAGGCTTCCTACATTCCCACGCGGCTGACGGGTGGTCGTCATCCGTGGGGTCGCCCGCCACGATACCTTGTCACCGAACGCGGAGCCGTGGCCTGCACTCACTGTTGAGTCGGGGCATGGGCATGACGCCCTCGGTGCTGGCCAGGGTGCTTGAGTAGAGGAAGATGCTCCACTCCTCCTCCGAGAGGGAGCCGATGGCGTCCACGGGGTGGCTGTGGCGGGCGCTGTGCTTCATGATGGAGGTGCAGATCAGGAAGGAGAAGCAGAGCTTGTGCTCGTTGAACAGGGCCGCGGACACCACCTGCGGGGACGGCGGAGCCTGCCATCAGGCCAGCTCAGCCAGAGCCGGCGCCGCCCCCTGCGGCGTCCGCCCCCGCCTCCCCCGCCCGTCTCACCTTAAATACGCTCGTGGTCAGCACGTCCACCGTGCTCCTCAGACGCCTCTCCAGGGGATGCCTCTCCAGCTTGAGCTTGTGCTCCCGGGAGGGGCTGACACGCTCCCTGGACGGGCTACCGAGAGTCCTTCTCAGGGAGGCCTTCTCCCACTTGGACCCGTGCTCCTCCTGCTCCTTGCCCCCGGAGGCCACCGACGAGAGGAAGACCTGGCGGAACCAATCCAGGGAGAACTGGTACATGTGGTTGACCTGGGGGAGGCTGGCCACCACGAAGTACAGCAGGGCGCCGCGGGTGGCCACGGGGAGGTAGCTCTCCCGGTTTGCCTGGATCTCGCTCTCCGCCTTCTCCGTCTCGCTGATGCGCTTGGAGATCTCGTCGGAGGTGATCTTGGATTTCCTCAGGGTGTCTATGATTTCCTCGTTATCCAGCACACACCCTGGGATAACGCAAACAGAAAATAAATGTAAATGAAAACCACCCCAGTAATCCACGGCAGCTTCATCATTCTGTACTCTCTTTTTTTAAATTTTTATTATTTTTTAAAAAAAATATTCTATTGATATTTTACAGAGAGGAAGAGAGAGGGATAGAGAGCTAGAAACATCGATGAGAGAGAAACATCGACCAGATGCCTCCTGCACGCCCCCCACTGGGGATGTGCCCGCAACCAAGGTACATGCTCCTTGACCGGGAATCGAACCTGGGACCCTTCAGTCCGCAGACCGACGCTTATCCATTGAGCCAAAAACAGTTTCGGCTCATTCTGTACTCTTTTATTTTTTTTATTTAAAAAAAATATTTTATTGATTTTTTACAGAGAGGGATAGAGAGTTAAAAACATCAATGAAAGGGAATCATTGATGAGCTGTCTCTTGCACACCCCCTACTGGGGATGTGACTGGAATCAAACCTGGGACCCTTCAGTCCGCAGACCGACGCTCTATCCATTGAGCCAAACCAGTTTTGGCTCATTCTGTACTCTTTTAATTTTTTTATTTAAAAAAAAATATCTTATTGATTTTTTACAGAGAGGAAAAGAGAGAGGGATAGAGAGTTAAAAACATCAATGAAAGAGAATCATGGATGAGCTGTCTCTTGCACACCCCCTACTGGGGATGTGACTGGAATCAAACCTGGGACCCTTCAGTCCGCAGGCCAACGCTCTACCCACTGAGCCACACTGGCTCGGGCGCCACTAAACGCCTCCGCTTGCCTTGTGTGTTCTCCAGCAGATTGAGCGTCTTCTCCTCCAGCTCCTGGAGAGTCATGGCGTCCAGGGAGATGCTCTCCAGCAGCTGGAAGCGCTGGTTTTCCAGGTGAGGCACCTCGTGGGTGACGATGGTGGACAAGAGCTGATCCTGCAGGCCTTGGAAGGTGACCGTGAAGTTGATGACGTTGACCAAGTTGTAGACGGTGGGAGGGAAGTCGGGGTTGTCTACCTCTGTGGATATGTACAACCTGAGACACGAGAGAGGTTCCATCCTTTAGTCCGAGGGGGTAAATAAGGCCATTTCCTTGAGTGATGGAAAAGCTACTATTTCTCCTGGAAGTTACCAAGGTTCGTTTTCAGTGCTCTTCTGCCTTGTACGCAAGGAGGCTCTCAGTTTATACTCCGTGAATACATTGGGGACATATGACTTTAAAAATGCAAACATCACGCGGAAACCGGTGTGGCTCAGTGGACAGAGCGCCAGCCTGCGGACTGAAGGGTCCCAGGTTTGATCCCGGTCAAGGGCATGTACCTTGGTTGCGGGCACATCCCCATTGGGGGGGGGGTGTGCAGGAGGCATCTGATCGATGTTTCTCTCTCATCGATGTTTCTAACTCTCTGTGCCTCTCTCTTCCTCTCTGTGAAAAAATCAATAACACATCTTTAAAAAAAATAAAAATAAAAATAGAAACGCAACCATCAGTGATGTTCGTACTACATTTGGTCTACACATCAGGACACAGTGAAGACGAATGCTCAATAGCAGGCGCTTTGACCTGCCCTGGTCCAGCGCTTGGCAAACTCATCCGTCCACAGAGCCAACTACCAACAGCACCACGGTGGACATGTCTCTGGAGAGCCACATTTTTAAAATCTAAACGTCTTCTCATGCCACTTCTTCCACACAGACTCGCCCCGGCCGTGGTGTTTTATGGAAGAGCCACACTCAAGGGGCCCAAGAGCCGCAGTTTGCCGACCGTGATAAAACGATGGGTTTTCCCAGGAGGGAGAAGGCGGCGGAGGGTGGAGCAGAGGGGTGACATGACGTATTCCACCAGGACAGGCCTGTCTGCTCCCCGGAGGGCAGAGCGTGCGGAGGGGGGCAGCTTGGGGCAGGTGGGACCCGGGGGTGTGGGGAGGGGCGGTCAGGCCTGAGGGCAGCCCAGTGGGAGGAGACGGCGGGGGACGTCACCTGAACTTGGGGTTGTATTCAACGTCACAGTCGCTGACCCGGATGAAAGACTGTCCTCTCCGCTGATAGATGTCCTTCTTCAAAATCGCCTTCAGCCTTGGAGACAAGGTTTCAGGCAGGTTCTGGGAAATGCAGGGGATGCGAGTTCAATAAGCTCCCCTCGCACACCATCGACAGGTGAAAAGGACACAGCTTTAAGAAACGCCCGTCTTGCCGAAACCCGTGTGGCTCAGTGGATAGAACGTCGGCCTGCGGACTGAAAGGTCGGTCCCGGGTTCGATTCCGGTCAAGGGCATGGGCCTTGGTTGCGGGCACATCCCCAGTGGCGGGGTGTGCAGGAGGCAGCTGATGGATGATTCTCTCTCATCCATGTTTCTAGCTCTCTCTCTCTTCCTCTCTGTGAAACGTCAATAAAATATATTTTTAAAAAGAAAAATAAATTTATTTAAAAAAAAAAATGCCGATCTGTGAACATCTGGATACCGGTGAAGGACAGACCTGAGAGAGCTGGACGCCGAAAACTCACTGTGTATACGCATGTATTTCCCTCCCGAGGTCAGCTGTCGCTTTCTTTCTTTCTTTAAAAAAAAATATATATTTTATTGATTTTTTTACAGAGAGGAAGGGAGAGGGATAGAGAGCTAGAAACGTTGATGAGAGAGAAACATCGACCAGCTGCCTCTTGCAAACCCCCTACCGGGGATGTGCCCGCAACCAACGTACATGCCCCTGACAGGAATCGAACCTGGGACCTTTCAGTCCGCAGACGGACGCTCTACCACTGAGCCAAACCGGTTTCGGCTAGCTGCCGCTTTCTATAAGGTCTCACTCAGGCTGTTTTTGCTCCGTGCATAGAGGTACGTGTCCGCGGCCCGGGACGAGGGGAGCCGGCCGCGTGGGGCACACGCACCTGCAGGAGGACGCTCCCTCCCGTCTTGATGGCGTTCTCGATCTTCTTGATGTAGCCGCTGTCCTTGAAGGAGAACTCCTGCAGGCCCGGCCCCTCCATCTGGCGGATCCAGCTGTACGCTTGCTTGTAGGGGTCGATCAGCAGAGGCCATGACAGGCCGCTCTGGATCAGGATGGCGTTTTCCGTTAGGTACTTGCCGAGAGGCAGCCCCTGCTGGTGCCACCGGCGGATCTGGAGGGAGACCCGGGGAAGCTGTCACTGTTTTAGCAACGTCTTCACGTGGTTAATACCTACAGGACGTGTGCCCTCCCGCTAGCCGCTCAGTGGCCCCCATCCATCGGCGTGGTGGTCCTGCCACGCCGGTGTTCAAGTAACCCTTCTTTGACTTAATAACGCCCCCCCCCCAAGTGCAAGAGTAGTGATCACGCCGGCCCTAGCCGGTGTGGCTCAATGGATAGAGCGCTGGCCTGTGGACTGAAGGGTTCTTGCTTGCCAAGACGACTCCCACTTCAGAGAGGCCATTAAACCTTCCCCAGACAAGGCTATCGGTGCTGGCGCCAGGCCAGGCCTCCTCTGGTTGAGGTCTCATAGGGGCTCTTTAAGAACTTTGCAGAAAGGGGCCGGAAACATATTTGGGAGACCAAGGAAGTAAAAACATATAACGAGGGGAAATGCCTGCAGGTCGGGGCCCAGAATTGGAGAGATCTTTTCCCCTGGACCCGCGTGCGTCATAAACGTGGCTCCATCTCTCTAAGCATTGCTTCGTTCTTCTTCGGTTTTCTGTAACAAAAGGAGTCTCGGGGGGAGGAAGTTGGCTATCTTTATTAGACAGCGTAGTAGGATTATAATGAGAAAAAAAATATATATATATATGTTGTGACTTTTGCCCAGAGAATGGGAAATAGTAGATATAACTAATTGAGGAATTAAAAGTATAACTTAAAAAACGATTTAAGGCCAAAACCGGTTTGGCTCAGTGGTAGAGCGTCCGTCTGCGGACTGGAAGGTCCCAGGTTCGATTCCGGTCAAGGGCATGTACCTTGGTTGCGGACACATCCCCGGTAGGGGGTGTGCAAGAGGCAGCTGGTCGATGTTTCTCTCTCATCGACGTTTCTAACTCTCTATCTCTCTCCCTTTCTCTCTGTAAAAAATCAATAAAATATATTTAAAAACAAAACAAAACAGAACAGAACAATTTAAGGCCTAGAACAGACTTAAGTACTTTCCATTATCAACATAATTCAGGGGAAAGGTCAAAGCCAAAAAATAAAAAATAAAAAAAAATGCCCACGCAAAATCCAACAATAAAGCCACTTCACCGGATAACAGCTACGTGGGTACCTGCTGGGTTTGTGCCATGACCTCGATTAAAGAAAACTTGGAAGACAGAGAAATGTTGCTTTTGGTGCAGAGGTTCTCCCATTGGTTCACGATCAGCTGGCGGAATTCCGGGGTTAGCACCCCGCTGTAGACGATGCATGCGGCCGACATCAGTATGTCCCCCACAATGCCCTCCAGCTTGCTGTCTATCTGATCGATCGTTTCCTGCCATCGGATCTAAACGTTAGAATAAAAACGAGTTACTGGTATTTGCTAGAAACACCTGCTGCTTTGAGACATCTGGGAAATTAAAGGGCCTCCCAGCTGGACCAGTCATGGCCATTTCTATCCCACTTCTCCTGCTGTAGATGTAATATAATTAATAATGGCTAAAATGGAATCACGCACATTTTTTTTTATTTTTAAAGGGAACACGAGTCCTGTTTTTGGGTTTGTCAATGGGATCATATTTGCTAAGATTGATAGGCATTTCAAATTCTTTGTGTAATAAGGCGGAGTAATTAACAAATAAATCATATTATATTATTAACTAGAGGCCTGGTGCATGGAATTCATGCACAGGGGTAGGGATGGGGAGGGATTGTCCCTCAGCCCAGCCTGCACCCTCTCCAACCTGGGACATCTCTCTCACTACCCAGGGCTGCTGGCTCCCAACCACTTGCCTGCCTGCCTGCCAGCCTGGTCACCCCCTAACCACTCCCCTGCCAGTCTGATCGACGCCTAACTGCTCCCCTTCCGGTCTGATTGCCCCTAACTGCCATCCCCTGCCAGCCTGGTCACCCCTAACTATCATCCCTTTGACAGCCTGGTTGCCCCCACCTGCCTGCCCCTGCAAGCTTGGTCCCCCCAATTGACCTCCCCTGCAGGCCTGGCCCCCCCCAAACTGTTGGCCATCTTGTGTCCACATGGGGGCAGCCACATTACCTATTATATAGGATGGTGCCCAATAATAATGATCAATACTTATTAAATCCTCACTTATCTGATACTTTACTTTGTAAATCTCATTTGATTCTTTCAATATCCTGTTAAATAAAAGCCACTGACTTCATTGGAATGAAAAGGAGGAAGTTGAAGGCTAGAGAAGTTAGGCTACTTGCTCAAGTCCACAAAGCTCTCTTTGGGTCGCTGGGATCTGAGCCCACGCTCCCTGGTGGTGCGCCTCCTTCCACGGCCATGTCTGTGCTCGACTGTCCATACACGAAGTGTGCTGGTCAAGTACCCAACCTCTGGCAGCTCACCATTTGGGATAAGGCTAATGCTAGACCACCGCTCAACACGCATGCTCACGAGGACATACATGGAGGGATGTCATCTCCCTCGGATGGGACTAACTTCCTAACTTCCTTCCTCCTGCCCTGCGGGAGTCTCCCCTCAGAGGTCTCTCCTTAAACTAAATTAAAATGATTTGGGGGGATTCTGTCACATCCTTTGAGAGAGCTGAAGTATATAACTAACCCTACTCAGCTCACCAGGGATTCCAGGAGAGACAAGGAAGACGAGTTAGAGGAGAAATAATTAGATGAGGTGAAAAGGGTCAGAAGACACACAGAACAAAAGAACATATCCTTTGCCAAAACCGGTGTGGCTCAGTGGATAGAGCGTCGGCCTGCGGACTGAAAGGTCCCGGGTTTGATTCCGGTCAAGGGCATGGACCTAGGCTGCGGGCACATCCCCAGTAGAGGGTGTGCAGGAGGCAGCTGGTCAATGACTCTCTCTCATCGATGTTTCTAACTCTCTATCCCTCTCTCTTCCAATCTGTAAAAAAAAAAAAAAAAAAAAAAAAAAAAAAAAAAAAAAATCAATAAAATATATTTTAAAAAAAAGAAAAAGAAAGAAAGAAAGAAAACGTTCTTTTCCTTTCCCGGCGTCCCCTCCTCCCTTTCCGCCCCATCCGTGCTGATACATAGAAAAGAGAGCCTGATGTTCTGAGTTTTACTCGGCACCGCACAGACCAGGGTGTGTGCCGTCTTAGGGACGAGCGAAACAGCTTCTGCCTGTGGTGTCAGTGACCCCCGCGTGAAGACAAGCGCGAGGCATTAACGAAGGAGACAGAAGACCCACAAACGCCACACCTTCTCGTCGCCCAGGGCGGTGAGCAACACCGACGCACAGTACATGCGCCTCGTGGCCAGCTGTCTTCGAGCTGCCAATACGTCCTTCTCGGCAACGATGTCTCTGTAGGCCGCCTGCAAAAACTGCAAGTGGTCTTCAACCTGAAAGACAATTTATGTTTATTTTATTTAATTAATTAATTTTTTAAAAAAAGATATATTTTATTGATTTTACACAGAGAGGAAGAGAGAGGGACAGAGAGTCAGAAACATCGATGAGAGAGAAACATCGACCAGCTGCCTCCTGCACACCCCCTACTGGGGATGTGCCCGCAACCAAGGCACATGCCCTTGACCGGAATCGAACCCGGGACCTTTTGGTCCGCAGGCCGACGCTCTATCCACTGAGCCACACCGGTTTCGGCAGGAAGGTCTACTCTTGCACAAATTTCGTGCACCGGGCCTCTGGTTTCATCGTAATTCAGACCTTACTACCTTCACTATCGTCCCCCTTTTACCTTAAATGTAGGAATCCTGCTGAGAGAAGGGCTCTTTCCTGAGGTTGCTGTCCAAGTTCACAAAGGCATTGGCGGTTTAGCAAGTAGAAAAAGCTTTCTTACCAGCTGCAAACCTCTCTGCTTTTCCGCCAGCCTCTGTTGCGCGATTCTCAGAATGTTCTGGGCCTCAGCGACCTGGGCCTGTTTCGGGCCCACCACCTTCAAGGGAATGTCACGACATTCGAGCGTTAGGGAGGTCAAGTTCGCTTCTTAAAAATGCCACTTCATTTAAAAAATATATTTTTATTGATCTCAGAGAGGAAGGGGGAGGGAGAGACAGAAACATCCACGATGAGACAGAATCACGGATCGGCTGCCTCCTGCACGCCCCACACAGGGTGTGTGGGGGGGACCGAGCCGACACCCTGGGCACGTGCCCTTGACCGGAATGGAACCCCGTACCCTTCGGTCCGCAGGCCGACGCCATATCCACTGAGCCACCCCGGCTGGGGCTAAAAATGCCACTTTAGTTTAAATGGCATTGATAAGTGTCAACTCTTCCTATGAACTTGCAGAGAATTACGTGGATGGAAGAGACATAAAGTAGTTGGCTATGGCGACACGTGGGAAGGCAAACAAATGGAATGAGAGTGTCCTGGCCATAAAGAGCAGGACTGGGCAGGAGGGCTTGCCGGCTGGGTGTGCGGGCCCGTGTGTGGTGAGAACGAACGTCTGTCTCCCCGTATTCTCTCCCGGAAGTTCACGTGCGTCTTAATGGCCAGACAGGAGCGTGACCGTTGGGACTCTGGCCCGGCTGGCGTCGCGCAGAGGCTGAGCGTGGACCTAGGACCCAGGAGGGCGCAGGCGTGGGCTGGGGCGCCATCCCCAGTGGGGTTGGTTGGGGGGGAGGTTTGAAGGAGGCAGCTCATCAGTGATTCTCATCATTGATGTTTCTCTCTCTCTCTCTCTCTCCCTCTCCCTTCCTTGCCGAAGCCAGTAAAAATATTTTTTAATTAGAATTTTATTTATTTATTTATTTATTTAAAAAAATATATTTTATTGATTTTGTACAGAGAGGAAGGGAGAGAGATAGAGAGTTAGAAACATCGATGAGAGAGAGTCATCGATCAGCTGCCTCTTGCACACCCCCTACTGGGGATGTGCCCGCAACCAAGGCACATGCCCTTGACCGGAATCGAACCCTCTACCCACTGAGCCACACCGGTCTCGGCTTAATTAGAATTTTAATTACTAGAAGTACACCCCTGAACAACCTTCCCCTGTGCCCAGGGCCGCCCCCCGGCGGCCTCGTACCTTCCGCACGTCGTGGTAGTTGTTCAGCGCGATGATCCACTCGCACATCGAGCAGCAGGCCAGCGACACGAGGGCGATCTTTTTGGGGTTGAAGTCGGGCAAGACCAGGAATTTTTTCAGCTTCACGAAGACCTGGGCAGGACGTGGGCGAGGCGTCCCCGTGAGCAAGATCTGTTCCCGATCGGGAGCGTCCCCTCGCCCACCCGAGGGTGCCCTTCTGCCTCCCGTCAGACGTGCCCACCTGGCTGCTCCCCAGTGGAACAGAAACAGCGTACCCGGCCCTTGGTCGGTGGCTCAGTGGTTAGAGCGCCTGGCCTTTGGGTCGGAGGGTCTCGGGGTGGATTCCTGGTCAGAGGCACGTAGCTGGTTTTGCCAGGTTCGGTCCCTGGCCCCGTGCGGGAGGCAGCCGATCGATGTCTCTCTCTCTCTCTCTCACATCCATGTTTCTCTCTCTCTCTCTCTCTCTCTCTCTCTCTCTCTCTCTCTCTCTCTCTCTCTCTCTCTCTCTCCCTCTTTCCCTTCCCTCTTCCATTCTCCCTAAAAAAATCAATGGAAAAAAATATCCTTGGGTGATTTTTGTAAAAATCAAATAAAAGCCGAAACCGGTTTGGCTCAGTAGATAGAGCATCGGCCTTCGGACTGAAAGGTCCCGGGTTCCATTCCGGTCAAGGGCATGTGCCTTGGTTGTGGGCACATCCCCGGTAGGGGGCGTGCAGGAGGCAGCTGGATGGATGATTCTCTCTCATCGATGTTCCTAACTCTCTATCCCTCTCTCTTCCTCTCTGTAAAAAGATCAATAAAATATATTTTTTTAAAAATCAAATAACAACAACAACAACAACAACAAAAACCCCCACACTCATGCCTAACCACAAACTGGCTCTAGTACCAATATATCAATTATATCTTAAAAAAAAAACAAAACAAAAAACAACTCAGACACAGCTCTCCACTCACCGCACTTCCATAGTGTGCCTCCACCCACCCATCCAGACTCTCCCCCCTCCTGCGTCTTCACGGATTTCATTACTTAAAGAGTGGCATAGGGCCGAAACCGGTTTGGCTCAGTGGATAGAGCGTCGGCCTGCAGACCGAAAGGTCCCGGGTTCGATTCCGGTCAAGGGCATGTACCTTGGTTGCGGGCACATCCCCAGTGGGGGGTGTGCAAGAGGCAGCTGAGCGGTGTCTCTTACTCATCGATGTTTCTAACTCTCTCTCTCTCTCTCCCTCTCTGTAAAAAGTCAATAAAATATATATTAAAAAAAATAATAATAAAGAGTGACATAGGGCATTTTCTGATCTCAGGGTGACGTTGCCTCTCCCCAACACTTCCAAAAACCCCATTTTCTTCAGACATACAGCTTGCTCTCTGATCTTGCAACGCTCCCCTCTGACTTCTAATTCTGATACAAAATTCTCATTTAAAAAAAAATATATTTTTATTGCTTTCAGCGAGGAGAGGGAGGGAGAGAGAAACATCAATGGTGAGAATCACTGATGCGCTGCCTCCTTCAAACCCCACTCCCCAACCAACTCTACTGGGGATGGAACCCCCAACCCACGCCTGCGCCCTCCTGGGTCCTAGGTCCACGCTCAGCCTCTGGGCGACACCCGGGCCCGGCCGGGCCGGAGCCCAGTGGCCCCGCTCCGGTCTGACTCTGGGTCCGTCGGCACCGACCTGTCCGCGGTGCGTCCGCCAGCGAGCGGCTCCCTACCTTCTCGGGCAGCCGGTCCTTGTCGAGCTGTACCAGCTTCTTCAGGAAGCCGGTCTCCGACAGCAGCAGCTTGGCCGTGGCCCAGTTGGGCTTCTTCTGCAGGAGAGTGCACACCGCGTTCATGACCGTGAGCACCAGGTACGGGGGGCGCGCGTACACCCTGCAGCAGACGGGGGGGGGGGGGGGGGGGGGGGGGGAGTCACACACACCGGTCAGCGGCCTCGGGCGACAGCACGTACGGGTTTTTTATTTTATTTTTTTTTCAATAAGGGAATTTTATTTTATTTTTTTATTTTTTAAAATATATTTTATTGCCGAAACCGGTTTGGCTCAGTGGTAGAGCGTCGGTCTGCGGACTGAAAGGTCCCAGGTTCGATTCCGGTCAAGGGCGTGGACCTTGGTGGCGGGCACATCCCCGGTAGGGGGTGTGCAAGAGGCGGTGGTCGATGTTTCTCTCTCATCGATGTTCCTAGGTCTCTATCCCTCTCCCTTCCTATTGATTTTTTACAGAGAGGAAGGGAGAGGGATAGAGAGAAACATCGATGAGAGAGAGAGAGAGAATCATCCATCAGCTGCCTCTTGCACACCCACTACTGGGGATGTGCCCGCAACCAAGGTATGTGCCCTTGACTGGAATCGAACCCGGGACCCTTCAATCCGCAGTCCGACGCTCTATGTATCCACTGAGCCAAACCTGTTTCGGCATGGATTTTTTTTTATTTTTTAAACGAGCATTTTTGGTAAGGAGACCAAATGGCTGATGCATAGCTTTTCCTCATTCCTTGGGTGTCTTTAAAAATGTGGGTGTTGCCGAAACCAGTTTGGCTCAGTGGGTAGAGCGTCGGTCTGCGGACTGAAAGATCCCAGTAGGGGGTGTGTAGGAGGCAGCTGGTCGATATTTCTCTCTTATCGACGTTTCTAGCTCTCTATTTCTCTCTCTTCCTCTCTGTAAAAAAAATCAATAAAATATATTTTTTTAAAAAGAAAGAAAGAAACGGGCCGACGACTCACCTCAGCTCGGAGATGTCGGTCTTGTCCAGGGTGTTGAGAGCCAGGATGGCCTTGTCCAGAGCTGGCATCACGCTCTTCAGTTCGTGGGCCGTTGTCTGCAGGAAGGGAGATGTGCCCGGATGCATACGGACGTGGATACAGTCATGTTATTACGTATTAACTGTAGGCTCGATGCATGAATTTGTGCACAGGTGGGGGTCCAGCCGGCCTGTCCCAATGGGGGTCAATCGGGCCGGGCTGGCAGGGGGGATGGGATGCGGGAGGTTGGGGGACTGGCCCCGCCCCCAGTCGGTGTGTGTGTAGGCCCATTGGGGGAGGGGAACGCCTGGAGGAGGGGCTGCCCCCGATGGGGTGGGTTGGCTGGCACATGCGCGTCATAGCAACCGGTCATTCCAGTCGTTTTGGTGTTCGTGTTTTATATATATATATATATAGATATAGATATAGATTATTATGTGCAAGAGGCAGCTGATTGAGGATTCTCTCTTATCGATGTTTCTAACTCTCTATCCCACTCTCTTCCTCTCTGTAAAAAATCAATAAAATATATATTTAAAATCCCTGGGGTTTTAGGTAATGTCAAGACTTTTTCAATGTCTCAATAACACAAGTGAGAAATTACATTTCTTATATAGATATGTGAAAGGTTATCTTAGCTGTTATTTACAAGTTAGACAAAAATCTGAGGATGTTAAATAAAAGTGATTGTGTGTCAAAGTGAAGAATGCATCCTGTGATCATGTTGGAAAAAATTCAAGGTCCTGGCTGAGTTTGCAAAAAAATATCGACATTAATTAAAATATGAAAATCAGAAAACACACCTATCATGAAGACATTGGTGGAAAATGGGTGAACGAATTCAAAGAGTATTTAAAATTAATTGATAGACAAGAAATCTTGACATGCCGTTGCTGCTTACAGCAAATTCAACAGCAATACTGACAAAAATGTTCATGACATTATCAACAATAATTGATGGTTCTATCAGAAATGAAATTACAAAATCAGTTCCCTATGAAAAAGCAGTCTCAGAGTACACAGTGGGAAAAAATGCAGGAAAAAGGTATTGTTGGGAGGGTGGTTAAGGCCGTGAATTATTGAACAATATTGTTATTTTTCTAGACTGTGTGATGTTCGTAAAAATAGTCAGCTTTTACAATTTTGTAGATTATTTGATTTCTTCACTTATTCTAAATATTCACATCCACGTCTAACTGTGAACTAGTAATTCTGTATTCTTTTAATATTTGTTGCCATAAATAATAGAAGTACCGAGTGTTGGGGCACTATATATATATCGGAGAGCAGCCAGCCTGACCTCTGAAATGTGGGCATTAGGGAGTCATTTTTGCAAAATCCCCAAGTGATTTCATCTTACATGAGCATGCTCTTCCACAATTCTCACTTCCTCTTCCATGATTTCCTCATCCTGTTTCACGAGCATCTGGACTTTCTCAACGACTTGTGAGTCCTTCTGTAGTTTTTCCATTAACATTTCTTTTTCCTAATGAAGCAAATAATTCTTCTCAGCATGAATTTTAAGAGAGATTTTATTTTTTATTTTTGAAAAAAAAGAGAAATCCAAATAGCCCATTTCCTTACTATAAAAATTTATCAACATCAGCTTGAAATACCTTTAATAGACTAACAAAGATGACGACGATGGACATCATTTCATACAACACACGTCAAGAACAATGACACGTAATGACTTCAGAATGCTTGGCAGCTTGCCATTGACCACAGAACATTCCAGATGACGAGTAACTAGGGAATTTTTCTAGCTAGTGTTTTTTTTTTTTCTTTTTCTTTTTTACCATTAGTTAGATACTGATCATCATATTTAAATATGAAAAAACTAGAGGCCCAGTGCATGCATTCGTACACTAGCAGGGTCCCTCGGCCTGGCCTGAGGGGATCAGGCCAAAACCGGCTCTCGGACATCCCCCCCGAGGGGTCCTGAATTGCGAGAGGGCACAGGCCAGGCCGAGGGACCCCCACCAGTGCATGATCGTGGCTGAGGAGGGACCACGGGCGGGCTGCAGGGCGTGTCTGGCCTGTCTCTCTCAGTCCCGATTGGCCAGATCCCAGCAGCAAGCTAACCTTCTGGTCAGAGCGTCTGCCCCGAGTGGTCAGTGCGTGTCATAGCGACTGGTCGAATGGTGGAACGAACAGTCGGACACTTAGCACATTAGGCTTTTATTATATAGGCTAACGATGTTAATATTTTGCTATCACTGTTGTTATTGTTCCCCTCGCTTGACAGATAAGGAAAATGGGGACTGAGACAGATCACGCAGCCTCGCGGTGTCCGAACAAGCATGTAAGCTCTGCCACGCCATCCTGGGCTAAACTACAGAAGCGTTACCAGTAAGAAAAGATTTCCAACGAGACGTACCTTGGTCTTCTGTTCTATCTGAGGGCTGAGGATCAGGAGCTCCTCCTGCATGTCCTTGACCAGAGCCGTGGCCTCCAGGATCTTGGACAGACCCATGTAGAAGCGATCCCTGGAGGCGGAGAGGGGAGGGGAGGGGACCGTTTACGACACAACGTCAGCCACGGGAGCTACACCGTGGCCACGGCCGGAAGGCAATTGGTCGAGACGTCCATTCTCCCCAGACAGATCGGCAGGCGTAATGCGATGCCAATCAAAAGTCGAGGCCAGCCGAAACCGGTGTGGCTCCATGGATAGAGCGTCGGCTTGGGGTCTGAAAGGTCCCAGGTTCGATTCCGGTGTGCAAGAGGCAGCTGATCGATGACTCTCTCTCATCGATGTTTCTAACTCTGTATCTCTCTCCCTTCCTCTCTGTACAAAATCAATAAAATATATATTAAAAAAAAAAAAGTCACGGTCAGAGCCACATGGGCAGGTCTTATGTTTGTTTGTTGCTTTTAAAAAAAATATATTGTATGGGCTGAAACTGGTTTGGCTCAGTGGTAGAGTGTCGGTCTGAGGACTGGGGGGTCCCGGGTTCGATTCCGGTCAAGGGCATGTACATTGGTTGCAGGCACATCCCCGGTAGGGGGTGTGCAGGAGGCGGCTGGTCGATGTCTCTCTCTCATTGACATTCCTAGCTCTCTATCTCTTTCCCTTCCTCTCTGTAAAAAAAACAAACAAAAAAAAACAAAACAAAAAAAAACAAAAAAAAACCAATAAAATATATTGTATGGATTTTTTTACAGAGAGGAAGAGAGAAGGATAGATAGTTAGAAACATCGATGAGAAAGAGACATTAATCAGCCGCCTCCTGCACACCCCTACTGGGGATGTGCCCGCAACCAACGTACATGCCTTTGACCGGAATCGAACCCAGGACCTTTCAGTCCGCAGGCCGACGCTCTATCCATACCGGCTTTGGCCTTAGGTTTGTTTTTACAAATAAAAGCACCGACACAAGTCTATTGAAACGTACACATACAAAGGAAAGTAAACACGTTTCCCGATCTGGCCTTCAGGTCTCACCTCTTGGTTTGCAGTTCTTTCTCGCGGGACCTCAGCATGTGCCCGAACGTGTCCATGAATCGCAGGTAGCTCCGGGGAGTGACATAATAGCGCCTCCTGGTTTCCTGGAAGTATTTTGTGCTCAAGTCTTTCACACTCTGGTGGATTTGGACACACAATGGGGCAAGTCTTTCCTTCAGGTTCTGGAAAAAAAAAAAAAAAAAAAAATATATATATATATATATATATATATATATATATATATATATATATATATATATATATATATTTTTAAGAATTAAGAGAAAGCAGCCAAAACTGGTTTGGCTCAGTGGATAGAGCGTCGTCGGTCTGCGGACTGAAAGGTCCCAGGTTCGATTCCAGTCAAGGGCATGGACCTTGGTTGCAAGCACATCCCTGATGGGGGGTGTGCAAGAGGCAGCTGATGGATGTTTCTCTCTCATCGATGTTTCTCTCTATCCCTCTTCCTTCCTCTCTGTAAAAAAAAATCAATAAAATATATTTTTAAAAAAAGTTATATTTACCTCTCTGTTCTCTAAATCCACGTTTTTTCTCAGGAAAGAGTTGGCTACAAGCAAGAGCGCCTCCTCTGGCCACCGCTCGTACCAGTCGATGGTGCAGGAGCTGATCATGGAGGCGTACACGCGGCAGTACCGGCGGAACTGGGGGCCGGCGGGATTCACGATCATAAAGATGTGCAGGCTTCTCCGTATTCTCTGAAACACAGCGGAAGTGGGAGTCGTTAAGATGTAATCCATTGCTTTGGAAAAGACGTCCTATTGAACATGCCCTTTATTTTTTAAATATATTTTATTGATTTTTTTTTTTTTTAAAAGAGAGGAAGAGAGAGGGATAGAGAGTTGGAAACATCGATGAGAGAGAAACATCCATCAGCTGCCTCTTGCACACCCCCCTACTGGGGATGTGCCCGCAACCAAGGCAATTGCCCTTGACCGGAATCGAACCTGGGACCCTTCAGTCCGCAGGCCGATGCTCTATCCACTGAGCCACACCGGTTTCGGCTGAACATGCCCTTTAAAGCTTGTGCCCATTCTTTCCTTCGGGAGCCAAGACGTACCCACTGTGTGCGGGGTGCCCGCCACGACCAGCGCCTTCCTAAGGGGTGTGGCAATTCCCACAGAGCTCTGCTTGTTTTTGTAAAATGCTTTTATGGATTTCAGAGAGGAAGGGAGAAGCGGGGGAGAGAGAGAAAAACATCCACGATGAGAGAGAACCAGGAGGTCACGGTTCAATTCCCGGTCAAGGGCACATGCCCGGGCTCTGGGCTCCATCCCCAGGAGGGGGCGTGCAGGAGGCAGCCGGTCCATGATTCTCTCTCATCATGGATGTTTCTCTCCATCTCTTCCTCTTCCATCCTCTCTGAAATCAGTAAAAATATATATATTTTTTAAAAATCCCCAACTCAATCGAAGCAGCCATTCATACGACGTTGTTCTCTCTCAGTGTCTGGAATCTTTTACATCTTCTTGTGACCGATCACGGGTAATCTGGCGAGGAGTGGAGGGTTGCCCAGTTCAGTTTTCAAATGACTCCCCGGGAGGTAGAAATGGGCACCAGAGATAAGCTGACCCGTGTGGCCTGCCCTTGGGCGGACACTTGGGTGTGAGTAGCCACATCGATCTGTCCCCTAAGCCGCTGGCCAGTCACCAGCCATGGGTCAGAAGGCCTGGGTCTGTGGCCGGCAAACAGTGGCTCGTGAGCCACACGCGGCTCTTTGGCCCCTGGAGGGCGGCTCTCCCACACAACACCACGGCCCGGGCGGGTCTGTGTGGAAGACGTGGCGTTAGGAGACGTTCACGTTTTAAAAATGTGGCTCTCCAGAGACATGTCCGTCGTGGTGCTGTTGATATTTGGCTCTGCGGACGGGTGAGTTTGCCGACCGCTGGCCTCGGTCACAGGTTGCACCTCCCTTCAGACCGGTCCTTGCACAGCCACCCCCGCCAAACCCCTCCTGACCGCCGCCAGCCTCCCCTGGCCGGCGCCTTGCTGTGCCCATGGCCGCCTGGCCAACGTGGCGCTTCTTTCAAAAACACGAGGACATTCTTGTGTCTTGCCTGTCCACACTTGTTGCCGACGTGACCGAGACAGAAAGCCTCCTGGGCTGGGGAGGAACCTCGGTGTTAAGGAATCGCCGTGGGGCCCTGACTGGTCCGCCCAGTGGTTAGAGCGCCTGCCTGTGCATCGGAGGGGCTGCAGGTTCGATTCCAGTGAAGGGGCTGTACCTGGGTTGCAGGTTCACTCCCTGCCCTTGGTCGGTGCATGTGTGGGAGGCAACCAATCCCCCCCGCCCCTCTCTCTCAAAAAAGGGGGTGGGGTGGGGAAGAAATCATCGTGGGCTCTCATTGGTCATTACGACCAGCTGTTATTTGTGAATCCCAGGACAGCGAGGCCCGGATCCCGGCTCACCTCTGGCCAGCCCGAGAGCACCGTGTGTGTGTGTGTGTGTGTGTGTGTGTGTGTGTGTGTGTGTGTGTATGTGTGTATTTGTGTGTGTGTGTGTGTGTGTGTGTGACGGCAGGCATGGCAGCTTTAACAACGCAGACAGGACTCGAGTGTGTGCCCCCACGCCTTGGCCGCCACACGCAGGGACGGCGCACACGGTCGCCGCCCCCCTCCCCGCCCGCCCGCCCAGCGCACCTTCTGGAAGAAGGACAGCACGGCCTTCCGGCTGTCCGCGTAGCCCGCCGTCTGCTCGGCCAGCGAGCGGATCCGCAGGGCCAGGGCGTCCAGCTCGTCCTTCTCGAACATGTCGGGGACCTCCCCCAGGCTGACGATGCTGTTCAGGTCCTCCAGCAGCGCCTCCTGCGGGGAGACCCGGTCCCGTCCCGTGTGAGTCCGGGGCCCGCGGGGGCCCCTCGAAACACGCCAGGCAGGCCGGAACCGGGGTGGCTCAAAGGATAGAGCGTCGGCCTGCGGACTGAAAGGTCCCGGGTTCGATTCCGGTCAAGGGCATGGACCTTGGTTGCGGGCACATCCCCGGTAGGGGGTGTGCAGGAGGCAGCTGGTGGATGTTTCTCTCTCATCGATGTTTCTAGCTCTCTATCCCTCTCTCTTCCTCTCTGTAAAAAAAAAAAAAAATCAATAAAATATATTAAAAAATAAAACAAAGCTAATTTCTGTCCATCTGAGCTGACAGTGATTTTCTGAAAAGTTTTCTCTCTTTTTGTGTGCATCCATCCTCACCGAAGGGTATTTTTCTACTGATTTTTAGAGAGAGAGGGAGAGGGAGGGAGGGAGAGAGAGAGAAATATCGATGTGAGAGAAAGACATAGATTGATTCAACCCTAAGTTGAAGTTTGATATATATATATTTTAAAATATATTTTATTGATTTTTTTTTACAGAGAGGAAGAGAGAGGGTTAGAGAGTTAGAAACATCAATGAGAGAGAAACATCGATCAGCTGCCTCTTGAACACCCCCCAACT